GTGATCAGTTAGAGGGCGGAAACCGGAATATTCCCTATTTTCACTGTTTAAGCCAGGGTCACAGTTACATTTGTTCCGCCAGGGGAACCATTGGACGTTAAACCTCATTTCTCTCTGCCTTTTCAATTGCTGATGGCGGGTATTGTATTAAGGGGAACAGCTCTTTGTAACAGTCAGTAAAAAGGAGGCAGACCACCATTAATTTCCCCATTGACTTCAATGTTAATTCTGGCCTCTTTGCCCACCTCCAACTTTTCCCCAAATTTTGGTTGGGCTGAATGCTTTTCACTACAGACAGAGGAACAAATGGTAATGTCTTTGCACTAAAACTTGTATGAGGTTGACCGCCAAAAGTGTGAGATACACAAACTTGAAGAAGCATACTACAAACATGAAACTAGTTGCCGTGCATATCACCGTAGCCAACCTGATAACCCCGTTATCTTTTCGCCTCAAAATCATGAATATTTACCAAAACCTGCCAGAAAATGTTAATTCAAACCCTCTTCGTCCATTCTAGACCAAAACATCAACAAAAATTGGCATGCAAAAGGGGAGAAAAGAGACAGAGAGAGAATTGCTATAAATAGACGAACTACAGTTTTAATGGTGGTCTGCCTCCTATATGGATTTCCATAGATAGCATACTGAGACTTTGTGGCCTTGGGCCTAGCCAATGGTTACAGTCTTCGATACAAGGACCATTGCTATTCCCCCCAACCCCAATTCGAAAAGGCTGGTTCGCTAATGCTATGAAATATTGGAGGTCAAATGAACCCAAAACTGTCGACTATGAACACACATTTGCCGTAAAACTTTGAAGTAAGAAGCATTATGACTTTTCTCCACTTAACAAAATGAAATCAATTCTACAATACAATTTTCGACCAAAATCATGATTGCGGCCAACTTTAACAAAGACAGCATTGACTATAAGGAAATACTATACTTCTATAATATTTACAAACCAGCAAGAGATGGAAATAGTTAAGAAAATTCCAATTCTTTGAAGTATGACTGCGACAATGAGCTGCGGTGGGTACTTGAATAAGACGTTGGCTCGCTAAAATGTGGATCCCTTGTTCTGTCTCGGTATTGGAGGAGAAAGTTCATCAGGATTTTTCTGGCAAGGGACAACGTATTGTCGTTCCGATGGGGCAAAAAACCGAAGTCACTTGTACTGCAAGTAAAAAAACCCATGGCAGTTGGAATTCGATGTAAGGATACTGTATGGCGTATGCCCGTCTTCATTAGCCCAGTCGGAGCAGGGGCCTGTTTCACGAAATTTTAACTAAGATAAAATCCAAATTTTAGTAATTTGATTGGATAATATTACATTGATTGTAGTGCTTGGCCAATCACAATTGAAGTATCTACTAAAATTTGGATTTTATCTTTAGTTAAAATTTCGTGAAACAGGGCCCAGAACAGCAGGACGTTAAACCCCATTTCATTTCATTTCATACAGATAAAATTGAGCCAGATAAAATTGAGCCATAATGATTAAATGATAAAGTCATACGAATATTATTACTACGGTCCTTTAGCCGCCGAATAAAGGTGAGAAGGGTTTTTATTCCAAACTGTCTGACCTTTTTGACAGCAGGACGTTAAACCCCATTTCATATCATTTTATTGAAACTTACAAAAGTCCACATTACCCAAATTCAACGTTTTTAAAAAAATCAAATTGGCAACCAAATTAACGATTCTGTACCGTAAGTGACGTTATTGAGAGATAAAGAGAAATAATTGGGTTTGCCGTCAACTCGACACAAACTAGTAGGTCATTTATGGACTAACATATGGTTCAATTTTATTTCAAAAATTCGCTTGCTCGTAAGGTCTTTAGAAGTGGGAGGAAGCCGGATAGCCCAGAGAAAACCGACGTGTTTGGACAGGCGACCTTAGTCACGTACAAGCGGCGAAACGAAACCACGCCAGTTGACTTAATGACAGTTCATATAAATAAGCAATAATTCAATTTGATCACATTTTGACTCGCTACACTGTACAAAAATAATTCTGTAAAAAAAAAAAACCAAAAAAAAAACCAGAAAAGGTTCTGGCAGAAGATTTACCAGATTTTTAAATATGCTGAAAAGTATGTAAAAATACTGATGTTTCTGTGCAAATACAGAAATGCAACTAAACTAACAGATTTTATGGTAAAAATACGAGTTATTTTTCTGAAATGAAATGAAAATGAAATGGGGTTTAACGTCCTACTGTTCTGCTCCTAACCTGGGCTAAAGACGGGCATACGCCATACAGTGTGCTATGAGGGAAATTTTGCCCGGGCAGCGGCACTATCGCCTACTCTTATATCGAATTCCAACTGCCAGGGGATCTTTTACGTGCATTCCAATATATACACGGGACCTCGGTTTTTCGACTCATCCGAAGGACTAAGTTATTTTTCTCAAATCACAGATATTTCTGCGATAATAGGAATAATTTTCTTCAAATAACAACAAGTCGAGATTTATAAAACAGACATTTTGTTTACAGTTTATGCTAACAACATCCTTTGTGCCAATACAATAAACCTCTTTCGATGAGCTAGTTCCCCATTTAGTATGGTAAAAGGCTTGTAAAATAATGACAACCATATATTGCAACTTATAATAAGTTCATCTCGACTTTAACAATAGTCCGAGTGGTACAAAGGTTATTTTTGGTGTTTTTAAATAATATATTTCTCCTGTAGTACTGACGTAAATAATCCATTAAACTGTCATGTGTCTATCAAGGCTACACCATATTTATATTTCTAATTTCCCAGTTGAAAACAAAATATGCGAAAGGAATTAGGGTAGGACACATAGGTTTAAATATGATGGTTATTTTCAACCCGGAAATGCCATAAAAATCAGAACTTTGTTTTAAGGATGGATAAGGGGTGTACATGTGGAATCTTTGCAATGTCAGCATGTTTTTGTTGCTTTATTTTCCTTAAAAACAATTCCACTCGTACGTGTAACTTCACACGTCTATAATTGGGAATTTGTAAAACAAACCGATAAAAAGCATCTTTAATGTTTTCCAAAACATTCATTGTTTGATAGTCTCGGACAAAAGTAGGACCTTTAAACCCCATTTCATTTTATTTTATTTCATACTGCCAACTTGTGAAGTGATAACAATGGGTGAAATGCTAAAAATAACATCCATTATAACGTCGTTCGGTAATAAACAAACAACTGTATTAGGTTGTGATATGATAAATAGTCATGGACACTTGACATGCTTTGAGAGTATGTTCACAGATGAAGAACGTATCGCCCCAACAGAACCACTGAGCGCCATACACGTGGGGAGGGGTTCATTGTCAAATTTGACACTTCAAGGAAAGGTTGATGAAAACTGCCGCTTGCTGGTTTATCCGATCCATGTTTGCTTTCCTATCGGTTCTTGCATAAGATTTACTGTTTGGCGTATCTTTGCTTTAGTGTGTTACGTTTAATTTGATCGGGAGACGTGTTCGTCGACGTCATCGTCAACCGACAAGACTGCAAGAATTGGCCGTGGCACTGCCTGGGGAGTGGGTCAGATTGCTCCAAATCGTGATTGGACGGTTGATTAGGAGCATGCCACTACGAATTGCTGAATGTCTGAGGATTGGTGGAGCCATTACTCATTATTAAGACAAAAATCAAAAACGTCCATTTTCACTTTTGACGGTGTATCTCTTTGCGAGTGAAATGGGGCCGTCAGATAAGACGCCCATATGAACTGTTTATGTTCATGTGTAGGCAATTGGCCTGTTATTAACATACACTGGTTACCTCTAATAAAAACAGCCGTGCATTTCCGCAGTTTTGTATTGTTTCTGAATATCCCCTACTTTTTTGGAAGAGTATATAAACACAGGATTATGTTGTTTTTACCCGGAGGTCCCGTGTTCGACCCCCGGTTTTGACAGAGAAATTTCATTGCGATTTACCAGCGTGGTTCCCCCTTGTCAGTGGTGTAGGACTGGGAACCGTGGTGGCTCTGTGAGTAAGACGTTGGTACACTAATCCCGGAAGTCCCGTGTTTGAGCCCGGTGTTAGGCGAGAAAGCTCCCCTTTGTCAGTGGTCTATGACAGCGGCCCTGGCAAGCGACAACGCGCAGTCGCTCAGATTGGACGGAGACATTTGTGTTTTCGTAAAAGATTCCTTGGCAGTTGGAATTCGATATAAGAGTATGTTGATGCTCCGCTGTCTGGACCAATATCCCTCATAGCACAAAGTATGGCGTTTGCCCGTTTTCATCAGCCCAGTCGGAGAAGAACTTTAGGATGTTTAACTCCGTTTCATATGAGTCGCGTTAAAGATACATTATGGGAGATTAGATAAAGAGCTGGCAGTTCTCACTATAATAGTGAAAAACTAGATAATGCAAAGAGTATTTGCTGAAAATTTCAGTCAAATTGATCCACACTGAACCGAGAATTTAGCGATTGAATTTTCGGCCTAGCCTCGATCTTCATTACTAAAGTCGGTACGATAAAAAAACAAACAAACATAATCTCGATTATCCATTTCATGATTTAATCATGAATGAAAGATGAGCAGCAAATAGGATCCTAATCCAGTAAATATCACAGGCTAGCGATAAGATAAATTAATTAATGTCTAATTAATAATTTAGATAACATTTCAGGCCTAAAGAAAGATCTGCAATAGACAGATTTAGCTCTTGCATAATGTATGTTTAATTCACTCATGCTGAACTATGTATACGCTGTGACCCAATTCACACCACATGGCATTTTGTGAAATAAAGAGAATAATCAAATCTCAAAGTCATGTTATTTTTCATACAAAAATATATTTACGTCTCTAAGTTAGTAACTGGGTCACCTTTGGAACACCACTTAGTCACGTGATATTTACATCCGTCTGATTCAACTAATCAGATTGTATGTTTTATTTAATGAATCAGTTCCCCATTCAGAACATCAATGATATGACGTCAGAGTAGTTAATAAAGTTGACAAGTAAACGGATACAACCTTCTATAAAAGATGTCTATAGTATATGAAATAATTCACAGTTAAAAGTAGAAGATAAGAAGTCAACATGCAGTCAGCTGTGCTGTGTATATGTTTAACTCTACTCATAGTAGTTGGTGTTTCAGATGGTTAGTACTATTCTATACTATTCTATAAATATCAAGACCGTCGGAAGGGTATGGGGTTGAGGAAGGGGGGAGGCTTCAACTGCTTAAAAATTTGCAAATATGAATTCATTGGCTTAAACATGGTTTCGGGGACAAGTCTCCGGAACCCCCTTTTTTACTTGAATTTATTTACGGAATGGTGGGAGGCGTGCTTATGAGTATATTTATAGAGCTTGTATTTTGTATTTTATAAAGAAGTTGATATTTGTTTTCTCTTGGACAATATTAAGTTTTAATCAAGGGGAATGAGAGACCTTAAGCTTGAACAAACTGATATAAAATATCCGATTGGTCACTACTAGGGATGACATCAGGACGAGTTAATTAGCAATCAATATTAACTATTTTTCTTCTTCAAATTAATTTCTGAAACATTTTTTAAATTATTAACAAAGCAAACAGTAAAGGCGCTTGTAGCATATCTGGACAAAAATTATTTCTTATGAAATAGTATTCCGTGAAGTAAAATGAGTCAGATGTACCAATTCTACCAGAACACCTGGTATTACTACGTCCGATGTAAACAACGCACGTGTTATCGACGCCATATGCTTTGACGTCACACGTAGAACTGTAGTGGACGTGTACTTAGTCATCTTGTACAAAGTTAAAAGAGGGCTCTCGCAATGTCTATGTGGAACAGAATGAACCTTGACGTAACTACATGTAGTTCAGTAATTATATTTTTTTTTCTCGTCGTACAGCCCTACGAATGATCCGTCCATTACCAACTTACTGTAGACGCCCCGTTTGTGACACTGTGTGCCTTAAAGGCCAGGAACGTGATTCACGAGGATGCCTGACTTGTAGATGTAAACGTAAGTTTTATATTTTAATATCTATCTATATATATATTTGTGACTGTCGTTTGTTTGTCGGTCTGTCTGTCTGTCTGTCTGTTCGGGGTTGGCGGCTACACTAGGTCTGCCCCGAGTCTGAAATTTGGGGTATAGGGGTAGCTCGAACCGGGGAGTAACATAGGCCAGGTGGCGTTAGTCTACCACTTCCGGTTTCGGAGTTATGACCCCCGAGCGAAGCCGGGTATCCTGCTAGTGATTAATAAAATACACAAAGACGCCATTCATGCTTGGACAAAACCCCATAAAAACCTTTCGTTTGACAGCATCAACTTTATGAAGTTCTATTTCTGAGCATTTTGGACTTTCTCCATTCTGATTTGTTTTCAAGTGTCGCGGAGGGATGGATGGCCGAATGGTTAGTGCGTGCGCACTGTGTCATAAGGTCTTTCAATGAGTCAGCTGGCGTGGTTTCGATTTCCCGGTTGCACTTGACAAGGAATAGGGTCGCCTGTCCAATGTCGTGGGTATTCACCGGGCCCTCCGGTTTCCCCCCACTACTAAAGACCCCTACGCGCAAGCGAATTATTGAAATAAATTGAACCATATGCTAGTCCCGAAATGACCTAGTTTGTTTTGAGTGGACGTTAAACCCTCTTTCTCTCTCCCTTCAAGTGTCGCTATAGAAACTGGTTGTTATATGCTACAAGTTGAGAGCAATATAAATGCGCGTCGAACAGATGGTTCAGAAAACGTGAAGGATGCGACATACATATCTTTAATATTATTATTATGGTTTTCTCTATATATATAGTTGATAAAAAAGTGTGTATTGATAATCTAGTGTGTTCATGTTTTACTATTATTTTCCACAGCCACCATAGATTTTCCTCCTACACCTTTATGTGGACCAGTTTGTCAAATCTACTGTCCATATGGTAATGTTAAGGACTCGAGAGGCTGTCCAACCTGTAGATGCAATAGTAAGTATTACTTAACAATGTTATTAGTACACCCCGTGTCAGGACACAGAGTCTGTCAAGGGAATACGTATAGTCGTTCGGATAGAACGAAAACCCGAGGTAAGGGGTACACATTGGCCTGGACATAATCCAATCCGTGGCAGTTAGAATTCGACCTAAGAATAGGCCGTAGTACCGCTTTACGAACACAGTTTCCCCTCAAGGCATAATATGCCCGTCTTCATTAATCCAGTCGGAGACGAACCATAGGACTTTAAACCTCGTTTCACTTTCATTTCAGATCATTTGATCATTTCCGAACGATTTAGATAACATAAATAAGCTGTCGTTCATATTGTTTAGGATTGTAATAAAAATGAGAAGCATTAGATAAAATCTATTGATGAACAGAATCTGAATTGTCCTTGTAGATCTTCACCGTCAATATTTCTTGTATTTCATTTCTTCTAGAATCACCAAAACCAGTCTGTGGACCAGTTTGTAAAATAGGATGTCCCTTCGGAAATGTTTTAAATTCCAATGGATGTCCTATCTGTAAATGTAAACGTAAGCATTTTAATTTATAAATCTCTATAGCATGTCAGGGAAGGGCTGGGGTTGGATGGCTGAATGATAAGCACCGCGTTGTATCATAAGGTCTGTCATTGAGTCAACTGCGTGGTTTCAATTCCCCGGTTGTACGTGACAATGAGTAAGATCGCCTGTCCAACCTCGTGTCTTTTCTCCGGGTCCTCCGGTTTCCTCCCACTGCTAGGACCCTTACGCGCAGGCGAATTATTTTCTCTCTCTCTCTCTCTCTCGCATGTCATATGAGGGTTGAATGGCTCAATTGTCTAATCTCTGCAGTGTAGATCATACGAACCTTTGCTTTCTGATTGTTTACATGATTTCATTTCATCTTCTAGCACGACCAAAGCCAATCTGTGGACCAGTTTGTATGATAGCATGTCCTTTCGGAAATGTTTTAGATTCTAGAGGATGTCCAACCTGTAAATGTAAACGTAAGTATTTCCGTTTTCTGTAATACTGAACAATTTGTATATGAACCAAAACGGTTCCAAATGCAGGCGACTTTACATCCCATCTCTCTCTCTCTCTCTCTCTCTCTCTCTCTCTCTCTCTCTCATGTTGAGTGACTCAATTGTCTAATCTCTGCAGTGTAGATCACATGAACCGCCATCCTAAACTTGTACGTTTAACCTTGTTTCCTTTCTGATTCTTCACATGATTTCATTTCGTCTTCTAGCACCACCAAAAAAGCCAGTCTGTGGACCAGTTTGTATGATAGCATGTCCTTTCGGAAATGTTTTAGATTCTAGAGGGTGTCCAACCTGTAAATGTAAACGTAAGTATTTCCGTATTTTGTAATACTGTCAATTTGTATATGAACCAAACTGTTCCAAATGCAGTCTACTTTAAAGACTAATTTTAATGTGAAAATTGTAAATTTTTAGCGACACAATGTCCACATATTAATACATGTAATTTCAATATATAGGAATTTTGTAAATTTCAGAGATACTATGTCCACAGATTAATACATTTAATTTCAATATATAGGAATTTTGTAAATTTCAGAGATACTATGTCCACAGATTAAGTGTTCTAGACGATGTTTGTTTGGAAGATATGTCAAGGATTCTAAAGGCTGCCAAACCTGTAGATGTAGAAGACCTTTTGTAAGTATTTTTGGATATTTAAATTCAGTTTAAAAATATATAGCAATTTCAGTTGATACAGCCCCCCCCCCCCCGCAAAAAGTTTCGCCCCCCCCCCCCCTGTAAAAAAATTTTCGACCATAAAAAAATAGATATACATTGTCCGTCAATATTACAGCACCCTGAGAACACTTCCCGCCCCACTCGTTGCTCTGAGCCAGTTACGGCCCTGCGGGAGAGTCTCACAAGGGAAAACAACAAATTGTACTGATGGGCCGCAAAACCCACCGGTGTACTCGTTCGCGTACACGTAACATAACCCCGAGGAGTAGATGGAATCAGCGCTCTCCGGGAAAATCGTTTCTTATAGGACACTGTATTGCGCATGTCCGATTTCATTTCTCGGGTGGGGCAGAAAGATAATGATTTGAAAAATGATTAAAATTTATATGGTCAAATTTTATGACTATCTAACATTCATATTATGCCTAAGTTTGTATAGCTTGTTTGATATGAGAGGAAGCATCCTATTGAATTTAAATGATTTCCAAATTTAAAGGATTAGTTATGCCCCATTACATCGATAATTTCACGGATCCTTCGTTTATCATACAGTCACAGTTTTTCTTCAATCAGGATGATCAACGTCATGTGAATTGAACAATAATAATATTATTTTATTTAAAGACTAGCTGCGTCAAGTGCATTTTGGCTTAATCCACGGGTAAAACCTGAGAATTAGCTGCAGATTTAGCTATTGCATAATGTATGTTTAGCACCAACGGTAGATAATCCTCCGGTGTGGATTTAGTCGGATATAAACTAGGCTCATTAGTTTTCTCCGCTACCAATAAATATAATGAAGTTGAAAATTCAAATTATCATAACTGTGTGAATACTGAACGGATTTTTGGACTGAAATTGCTATTAGAGATTAAATCTTTACAATAGTGTATTGTGGAAGGGATTTCCATAGCACTAACTGGCGCATCGAACCTTTAAGGTTTTACTTTCGATATTGAATTATTATATTCTTCTATTCTACTTTCAGTTTCAAAGAAGAATATAAAGAAAAGAAAATGAATAAATTAGAACTGGAGAAATAAACCAACTGGTACAATCGCTTTAAAACCCCAAAGTTTTTATATAATCAATATACTCTGTTGACTGAAACCACATTCGACATAAACCTACTGGTACCATCGCTTTAAGAACCCAAGGCCATTTTATAACCATGTTTTGAGGTTTACAAAGATTTGATTTGTTAGCTGTGTCAATTCATCTCATAAGAAGTGGTATCGGGTGGTATTTGACTAGAATTTTAGAATAAAATATCCATCCCTATTATCCCTGATGAAGCATAAGTGTGGGACGTTAAACCCCATTTCATTTCATATAGAATAAAATTAATTGAAATATCACATTCTGGTAAACGTTTTTGACATTACATATTAATTATCCCAGTCGTTGAAGATCAGTAGAACAGGCCCCCCCCCTCCTTCTCATTTCCTGATATATTAACAATAATAATGTCTTGTTTTCAATATATGTGTGTTGTGTAAATCACGTTTTGAAGATGTATTGTATGCTGTTGTTGAAGATATTTTATATCTATGTTTAAAGTCGATGTAATGTACCATGCAGATGTTTTATATTTATTTTTAAATTCAATTTATTGTATGCTGAAGATATTTTATGTTTAAAGTCGATGTATTGCACGCTGAAGATATCATATATATATGTTTTTAAAGTCAATTTATTGTATGTTGAAGATATTTTATGTTTAAAGTCAATTTATTGTACACTGAAGATATTTTATATTTATATTTAAAGTCAGTTTATTGTATGCAGATTTTGAAGATATTTTATATTTATGTTTAAATTCGATGTATTGTCTGTTGGTTTTGAAAATATTCTATCTTTATGTTTAAATTCAATTTACTGTATGCTGGCTTTGAAGATATTTTATATTTATATTTAAAGTCGACGTATTGTATAATTGTTTTATTAAAATTTTACAAAAGTTTAATTATTTGTTTTTTATTGTTGCCAAACTTTTTACTGGATTCCAACCTACTGATGTACCCTAACTGCATAATGAAGACGGGAATACGCCATTGATTGTGCTACGGTGGAGGGTTTGCTCAGGCAGCGGAGGTGCCACCTACTCATCATCAAATTCCACTGACATGAAATAAATGAAATGAAATGAAATGGGGTTTAACGTCTTGTTCCGACTGGGTTAATCAAGACGGGCATACGTCATACAGTGTGCTATGAAGGAAATTGGGCTCGGACAGCTGCGCTACGGTCTACTCGTATATCGAATTCCAACTGCCAAGGGATATTTTACATGCACGCCAAAGTGTACACGGGACCTCAGTTTTTGTTCCCATCCAAACGACTATACGTTGTCCCCTGCCAAGCCCTCTGTCCTGCACCAGAATTCCAACTGTCAAGGCTTCTGTTACGTGCATGTAGATTTGAACGACTAGAAGCCGTATTTCAACTCCGGACACTTTGAAGGTCGACGATCTCCTAACGGTTATTGCCCGTGTATTGGTTTTGGCGGTGAGAAGACAGAAACAAAAGTGACCAAAGAATTGCTTCTTGTAGTACAGTGATGTAAACCTTTCGGTCGCGAGAAACTTTCGCGGAATGAATCTCATGAATTTCATTATTTTCTGCGAATCATAAGACGAACATTTCGAAAAGATAACACCTACCACACGGAACAAACAGCACAAATACGCGACACAAACTAGGTTATTTCAGGACTAACACACGGTTCAATTTTATTTCAATATTTCGCTTGTGCATAGCAGTGGGAGGAAACCGGGGGACCATGAGAAAACCAACGAGGTTGGACAGGCGACCCTACTCCTTGTTACGTACAACCGGGGAATCGAAACCATGACCGTTGACTCAAAAAAAGACCTTATGCTACAGCGCGCACGTGCTAACCATTCGGCCATCCAATCCCTCTCTATTTAATAGACAATATATCGTACAAAATAAAATATTGACGATATAGATTATCGACACTATAAAATATTGACGATATAGAATATCGACACTACTATTAGATAGTGATGTTATACAATATAACAAATTGATATTATGAAATATTGGCATTAAAAAATATTGGCATTATAAAATAAAGATACTATAAAATAAAGATATTATAAAATATTAACATTGACACTATAAAATATATTAAGGTTATAAAATATTGACAGCTTAAAATATTGACACATTAAACTATATTAGGTCATAAAATATTGACAGCTTAAAATATATTAGGTTTTAAAATATTGACAGCTTAAAATATTGACATTATGATTATGAAATCCTGACAGACAGCATAAATAAGTAAAATATAGACGGGATACAATACTGACATTATTAAATACTGAATCATAAACTATATAAAATATTAATGCTATTTACAAATTTATTGGGTACTATAAGACAGCACATTTCTCCAATGAAACATTGACAAATTCGGGTTGACGCCTACATTAACGTTTCTGTACAATAAGTGGCGTTATTGAGAGACTAACAACTACCAGAAACCCATAGAAATATGTAAATAATCTATTCATATATTTTTATGCCGGAAACCGAGCTTGACGTCATTACGGCCATCTTGGAATCGTGACGTCATATCAAAAAGTCCATCAATTGATGCGCCATCCCTCACAGAAAAAGCATGTTAGTCTGGTGGCTGAAGGGTGGGGGGAATCGCCACCAGAGCTGTGAATTTATGAGACCAAGTTTTTCTAGACCAGTTTTTTTGCGTAGATTCCGAATCTGGGTGGTGGTGACCACGCGTTTGAGGGGCGTTTCGAGATACGGACGGCGTGTCTGTGTGTGTGGGTGTGAGGGTGTGTGTGTGTGCGTGTGTGTGTGTGTGGGGGGGGGGGTCCAATATCTACAATTGGGGGAAAATGTGATTATGTTGACATAAATGATGATCATGTTATATATTAATAAAACCTAAATTTCTAGGACTGTCCATTAAACTGTCACGTGTCTTTCAAGGACACAACATAAATATATTACTGAGTATATTGTTAAATTCCTTTCTCTTTCAGTTTTCAACTTGAAAACAAAAATTGTGAAAGGAATTTGGGCAGGACACATTGGTTTAAAGCCGCATTAGGTAAGATTAGATAAAGAACTGATGACAGTTCTCATTATAAGAGTTAAAAGAGATAGCTAATGGAAACAAGATGTTGAACATTTCAGTCACATTGCTTCACTCTGAATCGCGAGATTTGCGATTCAATTTGCTACCGTTTGTACGATAATAAACAAAGTCTCGATTATCCAGTACATCCATCATAAAACATTCAAATCCACTAAATATTACAGGCTAACAATATTATCGAGAGCTGATTATGGTCTTGGTAAGTTAATTAATATCAATGTAATAACTTAGATCATGTTTAAGGCCTAAAGAAAGACCTGCAATAGGCAGATTTAGCTCTTGCATAATGCATGTTTGTGAAGCATATTTACCACCGGGAAATGCCACGAAAGTCAAAACTGATTGATAGGATTCACTTCGAGATGTGGTTAGTCATCTCGACGTCAAAATTTTTTGTAGTGTGTGGTTTTTTTTTCTTAAAAGCATTTTCACTCGTACCAGTAAATTACCATAAAATAAAACAGCCTGAAACACGATCACGGTTGATAATGATTTGAGCTGTATCAAATGAACAATAACAATCCACAATTTTTTTCATTAAAGACCCTCAATCACAAACAAAAGGCGTGTAAAATGAACCATAAAAGTTCTCTAAATTCTAAACAGGAGCGAACCACTTTGTTTTTTTAAAAAATAAGAGGACTGTTATTGATACGGTTTAGGCTCCAAGGGGGATCACGTGGCTAAGTGTGTAGGGCGCTGGCTCGCTAGTCTGGAGGTCGGTTGTTCGATCCCTGCATTGGCCGAGAAAGTTCACCCCGATTTTCCGGCGTGGTTTCCCCTTGTCAGTGATGCAGGACGTAGGGCCTGACAAGGACAGCTGTCTAGTCGTTCGGATGGGACTTAAAACCGAGGTCCCGTGTACACATTGGCGTGCACGTAAAAGATCCCTTGGCAGTTGGAATTCGATATAAGAGTAGGCCGTAGCGCCGCTGCCCGGGCAAAATTTCCCTCATAGCACACTGTATGGCGTATGCCCGTCTTCATTAGCCCAGGTTAGGAGCAGAACAGTAGGACGTTAAACCCCATTTCATTTCATTTCATTTCTTAGGCTCCAATAATAAAATGGAAATGAAATGAAATAAAATTGGGGTTTTCTCCCTACTGGTATACGCCATACACTGTATATGAGGACAAATTTGTCTGGGCTGCCGAGCTATAATGGCCTCATCTTATAACGAATTTTTTTTAACGTGCACGCAAGTGTATACATGGGGCCTCGGTTTTTCGTACCATCCGAACGACTATACATTGTCCTTGGCTAGTTTATATGTCCTGCATCACTGACAAGGGGGGGGGGGGAACCACGCAGGAAAACCCTGGTGATTTTTCTCCGACAACACCGGGAGAGAACACATAATCCCCAGGCTATCGAGGCACCACGGCTTCCTTAATAAAATGAATACAAATCTGATAAAAACTTATGATAAAAAAGTCTCTATGTCGTACAGGTGATGTTTCCATATACAAATATCTAAGTTTTTAAGTTCAAGCTTTTTGACAGATGATACTGTCAGGAAAACATCCGCTTTTGAATACATTTAGTCACGTGATACATCGATCCAGTTATTTTAACCAATCAAACTCGGTGTTTTTTTTAAAGGAAACTCTATCTGTTAATTGTGTGACGTTATTGTGTAAAATAGTTGACAAGTAAACGGATACAACCTACTATAAAAGATGTCTACAGTATATGAAATAATTCACAGTTAAAAGAAGAAGATAAGAAGTCAACATGCAGTCAGCTGTACTGTGTATATGTTTAACTCTACTCATAGTAGTTATAAGTTCAGATGGTTAGTAATTTACTATTCTATCTATATTGATGGCAATATGTTTTGGGATATCAGAAAACTGGGATATATAAATGGTAGAAATGGTTAGTAATTTACTTAATGACCCAACAGAGGTAATCAAGGCAAGTATATGTCATGCGGTGTGCATGCTCGGACAGCAATTGAATTCTAACTGTCAAAGTTTTTTTATGCGGATATGAATGAGGATATTATTTACAGGAAGGTTACATGAAAAGAGTATGTTTATCTAGGAAATACAACGTATAGTCGTTCGCAAGGTACGAAAAACCGAGGTACGATGTAAACGTTGGCAGGCACACAAAGATCCATTGCAGTTATAATTCGATAGTACCGCTGACAGGGCAAAACTGCCCTCATAACAAATTGAATGGCGTATGAAATGAAATGAAATGGGGTTTAACGTCCTACTGTTCTGCTCCTATGCTGGGCTAATGAAGACGGGCATACGCCATACAGTGTGCTATGAGGGAAATCGCCTACTCTTATATCGAATTCCAACTGCCAAGGGATCTTTTACGCTCATTCCAATGTGTACACGGGACCTTGGTTTTTCGTCTCATCCGAAGGACTAGACATCTGTCCTTGTCAGGCCCTCCGTCCTGCATCTCTGACAAGGGGGAACCACGCCGGAAAATCTGGATGAACTTTCTCGGCCAATGCAGGGATCGAACACCCGACCTCCGGGCTAGCGAGCCAGCGTCTTACCTACCTAGCCACGTGATCCCCTGAATGGCGTATGTCCGTTTGCATTAGCTAGATCAGAATAGAACAGTAGGACGTTAAACCTCATTACATTTCATTTCATTTGTCGCTGAAATCGCTCTAAAAATTGCTGTTTTGAGGTGTAGACTTGTACATCAATAAGCATAATCCTCGTAGTGTTTCGTTTGATTATGCCTAATCCCACGTAACACTGCTATAAAGGAAGCAAATTTCTTTTCCAAATTATGACTGGCTAATAATCCGATTAACAACCAATAACTAACTGCGTAACAATGTCATTACGTTTTAAACAGAGCATAGCAGAATATTGCAAAAAAACTAATTGCGTGACAAACGAGGCTATCAAAACAAATGCAATGTAAACAATACAGTTTGGAGACAAACAATAATTTCACCGTTTTTAATACCTTAAATCACTGTCCAAAGTTATAGGCAAGACCCCAGATTAAACGAAGTGTGTACTTGGGATAGATTTGATTGAACGGGAAGAATTGGCACACCCTAGCGATGACCAGAGAGGAATTTCTCAGGCCATTGCTTCAGGAATATGATCAATAAGTAAAGTTACCTTTCTCTTTCTCTTACAGCCCTACGAATTAGGCCTACATCACCAACTTACTGTAGACGTCCGGTCTGTAAAACAGAGTGTCCTAAAGGTCGGGAACGTAATTCACGTGGATGCTTGACTTGTAGATGTAAACGTAAGTTTTAATAATCAATAAAGTAAACCTTGAAGATGCATTATGTAAGATTTCGATAAAGAGCTGTCAGTTCTCGCTATAATAATTACAAAAAAAAAACCACAAAAAAACAATGAAAAGTGAATATGTTGAAACTTTCAGTCAAATTACTTCATTCTAGGCGGAGTTATGCCGTTTGTGATCTTTCTAAACAATGTCTCGATTATCCATTTTTTAAACTAAATTATTAATTGGGAATATTGTTTAAATCCGTTGAAAATCAAAACCATCCAATGCTCAGAGAGTTGATTATAGGCTTGTCATGTGAATAAATAATAATTAATATAACATTTGAAGCCAAAATAAAAACACACAATAGGCATATTTAGCACTTACATATAGGAATACATCTATAAATGTGTTCCTTCTTTACAACGTTTAATTCCATGCTTTTATTTCCACAGCCACCATAATTCGACCTCCTAAACCAGTGTGCGGACCACTGTGTCGCATGTACTGCCCAAATGGTAATGTTAAGGACTCAAGAGGCTGCCCTATCTGTAAATGCAAGCGTAAGTTTAGATTACTTCACACTATATTGTCACCTAAATACAAGTCAGAATAATTTTCAAATTCAGCGTTTAAAACAACCGCCAATATTGGCATGAATATAACCTGAGAGGGTGGGGGGGGGGGGTGATCTCTAAGTGACATTCTAACAGTAGCATCGTAGTAGTAGCTTTTTGGACGAATATGTTTGGTATCACTTTGATTTTAGCTTTGTGGACGACCATTTGACCCTTTGATATCTTTGATATGGACTTTGCGCCAGTCCCGCAGTTCTCCGACGGTTGTGCTGTATAATGTCATGTGGCCGTTTAATGTCACAGAAGAACTTATTCATAACCGCTAAGTTTTTTCCGAATTACGATTACCTCTTCAATACTGTATTTATCCGTTAGGCGTACCTTGTAAATACTATGCATTACGATTACCGAATAAATACTATGCATAACGATTACCGAATAAATACTATGCATTACGTAAATACTATGCATTACGATTACTTCGTTGATAGTATATTTATGAATTACGATTACTTCGTAAATAGTATATTTATGAATTACGATAAGCTCTTTAATATTATATTTATGAATTACGATAAGCTCGTTAATACATGGATGAAACATGGATAAGGCATTGTAAACTGAGCTAACTCTTGTGCTGTTTACTATACAGACCTAACTCTAAGTAATAAACTGATGACATTCTATCTGTTCTCTCAGCAGCAGCTGTTAGCAGCACGCTCCATTCGGACTAATTTCAACACAAATTTTTTTATAAATTTCAGCGGAACGATGTCCACGGATTAAGTGTTCAAGACCATGCTTGTTTGGGAGGTATGTCAAGAATTCTAAAGGCTGCCGAACCTGTAGATGTAGAAGACGTTATGTAAGTATTTATAAACAATTTCATTTAGCATTCACAAATATAGAACGTCGGGTGATAACCCCCTCCCCTCTCAAGAAATCTGATCTAAAGTGGAGCCGAGATGGCTAGGAGGGTATGATGTCGGTGCACGAATAAGAGACAGTTCCTAGGGATTTTTTCGGTCTGGATACAGCTTCTCAAGGAAAATCAGCTAATGGTCTGATGGGACGTAAAACATGGCCCACCGGTATATTTGTTTGCATGCATGCCTCAGAAAACTATAGAGGAAAGGGGGACACGTCCCTGTCCGGAGAAGTGTTTTTATCTGATAGTACACTATATCCAACTTCAATATCCCCTTTGGTGCAGTACACTGGGAAATTTCTGGTTCAGCTGTCTAGTGATATGAGGGGACAAATTCCATTGATTTTAAACGATTAACAATAGGACCTATGGCCTTTGGCGTCGATAATTTTGTAGGTACCTTTGATGGGTAAGTTCACATTAATCATTTGTATAGCTTATCTGGTAATATAAGAAGACGGATTCCATTGATTTTAAACAATTTCAAAAATTATTAATATTTATATATAGTCAAGATTATGTTGTCTAAAGTTCACATTAATCATTTGTATAGCTCGTCTAGTGATTCGAGAAGATGAATTCCATTGATTTTAAACGATTTCCCAAGTTAATTGTAGGGGTTATGGGCCTTTTCATCGTTTAGTTTATAGATATTTTTGATGGATAAGCCGCCTCGTATCCACAATTCTCTGCTACAATTATCGACTGACCGTTAAAGTCGGGACGACCAAGTTGTTAGTGAGTTCAACGGTAGTCGGGGTTATATTTAAGGTCTTGATTTCTATATTAATTTATTTTATTATGCTTTCAGACTCCAAGACATTAAAGAACATACAGAATACAGTGTAACCAATTGGATTTAAAACAGGTCCATCAATTTGGTTCACGGTAGTAAAGATAATGGACGTTACATAGGGAGAGGAATATATCCGATGTGATTTTCAATTCGTCATATCTTTGTAAATACTGAATGCAATTAAAGCGTTTGTCGACATTTTATTATGTCCCTTTAAAGAGATACAGCTTTCACCATATTGTAGTTTGCCATGGTTTCTACAGCGCTAAAATCACGCATAAACATTTAAAGATGGGTTCTATAAGATGTAGATAAAGCGGTGACGGTTCTTGTTGTAATAGATCCAAAATAAATCCAAAATAAATCAAAAATAGAACATGAAAAATGAATATATTGAAAATTAATTCAGATTTCACTATACCGTAGTTTGCAAGGATTTATATAGTGCTAAAATCACGCATAACTCTTTAAGGATGCATTATGTAAGATGTATAGATAAAGAACTGGCCGTACTCGCTATAATAGATCCAAAATAGATCCTGAAAGATGAATATAGTCAAATATTGAAATTTAAATTTCATTCAAATTATGACAGTTTGAAGCTGTAGCGTTGATTGTTTATTATGTAGTTTCGATTTTATAGTTAAATTTTGTAATTTCGCGGGTGTCCAAATTCATTTAAATCTCAGCCATCCAATGTTCTAGAGAGTTGATTATAGGCTTGTCATGTAAATAAATATCTAAATAAGAGTTTATATAACATTTGAAGCCAAAATAAAGATCGACAATAGTCAGATTTAACTCTTGCATAATGCATCTTTAAGTTATTTTCACTAATGTTTTGTGTGTTGTTTACCATGATTTTGATATTTGTTATATTTATGATGGTTGCGTTGAAAGTTTTCTATACTTTGTTCGATTTTAATTTTCTATATTAATTTTGGATTAAAAAGCTTTTGAATTATTTTCAATTTTCGTTTTTACTTGTTTGGGGGTGGGGGGGGGGAGGGAATGAGTATTGTCGGGTGGACGAGGCCGATCACCGAGGCCTTGTGTATTCATTGGAACCCCCTTGCAGTTGGATATCAAATAAGAGTTGCCCGTAGAGCCGCTTTAAGACTAAAATTTGCTTCATGGCACACTGCATGGAAAATACCCGTTCTAATCACCGAGGCCTCGTGTACACCTTTTGATCGATGAGCACGTTAAAGGTCCCCTGACGACTGGATGTCAAATATGAGTAGGCCGTTAAGACTAAAATTTCCTTCACGGCATACTGCATGAAAAATCCCGGGGCGAATGGTTAACGCATGCGCGTTGGTTCAAAATGTTAAGTTAATGAGTCAAGTGGCATGGTTTCGATTGTATGTGTCCAATCCCGTGAGTTTTCTCCGGGAACTCCGGTTTACTCCATCTGCTAAACACTTCAACGCACTAGCGAATTATTGAAATAAAATTGAACCATATGCAAGTTCTGCTGAAATGACCTAGTTTGTGTCGAGTGGACGTTACCACCGCACCCCCCCCCCCCCCGCACCCCCGTCTCTCTCTCTCGCTCTCTCTCTCTCTCCCTCTCTCCATTGATAGCACGTTAAAGAACATCTTGCAGTTTGAAATGAAAATAAAAGTTAGCCGTAGAGCCACTGTAGGACTGGGGTTTTCTTTACGGAATAATGAACCGTAAATGACCGTTCTCAGTTCCTTTTAAACAGTAGGACGTTAAACACCATTTCATTTCATTTCCTTTTATATTTGACTCTCACAAACATGTCGCTTGATTCAAGTGTAAACCGGTTTCTCACGGAATCTCACCCAACACGCCTTTGCTGAACACAGGGACGACATTCAACCAGGAGACATGGCGACGACATTCAACAGGAGATATAGCGGCAATCCTACATTATATTTATAATAGATCCTTGTTTATTTACATATATATCATATTCAGTAGAATTTACGCACTGACCCCATTCATTTACCCACCATAATTTACCAGTGAAAGCAAAAGTAGGACGTTATACGCCATTTCCTTATTTATTATATACCACTACAGCCGATATTATTCCATGGCAAGACGAATGTACGAATTGACTTTGTTTAATATACATGTATGATACCACCTACAGTCGATATTATTTCATGGCCAGAAGAGTGTACGAATTATTCCACGACCTTATTTATTATATACCATTACTGTCAATTTATCCACTAACCAGATGAATGTACGAATTGACTTTGTTTGATACATACTACTACAACCTAGATTATTCCCTGACCATATTTGTTCGAATTGACCTTATTTATTATATACCGCTACAGCCGATATTATTCCTAGACCGGAAGAGTGTACCAAATGTACGAATTGACCTTATTTATTCTATTGCATTACAACCGATATTATTCCCTGGCCAGAAGAATGTACAAACTGACCTTATATCTATTATATATCGCTCCAGCAGAGATTATTAGGAGTGTTTGTCAACCGGTATGTGATCAAGCCAAGTCGTAATATGTACGGAAACGAAACTTTGATAGTTGCAATTCGTCGACTCGACACAAACTAGGTCATTTCGGTACCAAAATATGGTTCAATTTTATTTCAATAACTCGCTTGCGCATAGGGTCTTTAGTAGTAGGAGGAATCGAGATGACCCGGAGAAAACCCACGACGTTGTACAGGCGACCCTACGCTTTGTCACGTTCATGTGGGAATCTAAACCATGCCACTTGACTCAATAGCAAACCTTATGATTTCACATGCACGCCTTAAACCACTAGACCTCCCAACCACCCTCCCAATGAATAAATAAAAGGGTGTTTAATGGCATGTCAGTAGCACCAACCGGAGTATATTGCGCCACGATAGGGTTTAACGTTTCGTCAATATAAAACTTTGAAATCCCGAGGAACGTTCCCGGCCAAAACCAGGAGCGAACCCTAGACCACCTTGTTACTCGATGAATCACGGCGGCACTCGTTCTAAATATAACTTATAAGTTAACGCTATCGATGTAGCCTAGTGCACACGGACCTTTGTTCTAAATATATTGATATTATGACGTATATGTAGTTGAGAATACTTCATCAAAAATGTGACATGCAGTCTATTAATGACATTATATGTAGCATGTTCCTTTTAATATAAGGATATGAATTATTTTTTTTCCACATAAATCATGTTCTTCAAAAGTCTAGAAAAGAAAAAATTATATCAAGCTGTAACTCACAAAAGGTTTATGTCTGTGTGTGTGGGGGTGGGGGGGGGGGCACAAAAATTAATAGTTATACCGTAAGGTCGGGAGGTCTCTATCCCCGGTGTCGAGAAATTTTGTACCCCGTGAAATATGTTAGAGTCTATTTTAAGCAGATCTGGACTACTGTACGGTATATATCTTTGACGACACTATATGAGCAATTTGGTTATGGCAGTGAATTAATTTTACATTTGTCAGCGCAAGTATTTAAGGAGCTTCGTGAAAGGGGATGCAGTTAAGAGCTTGGAGTTTTTGCGCCCGCTTCACTTAGCCCCCTGATATAGAAAACGGCACAAGAGGAAATGTTGATCTTCCTTATAAAATAAAACCTGAATAGAAAAAAAACTGAATAGAACTTTTATATTTCAGCCAGACGAAATCAGATATGAACAGTATTGTTACAGGATTTTCCGGTGTGGTTCCCTTGTCAGTGATGTAGGACGGGAGGACAGGGCATAGTCGTTCGGATGATATGAAAAACCGAGGTCCCGTGTGCAAATTGGCGTGTACGTAAAAGAACTCTTGACAGGTGGAAATCAAAATATGAGTAGGCCATTCTCTAGACATAATTGTCTCCATAGTACACTGCATGGCGATGCCCGTCTTCATTAGCCCAGCAGGAGCAGAACAGTATTGTCAAATCACATCAGATCGAAGTTTATTAATTTTGAATCAAAAACTAGTTCCATACTCTCTTGATAATCGACTTGTTTTTCTTGGAGCGACACGCTTCAAAAACCCAACGGTTCGGCCGATTGGACAAGGGTCAACCTGACACTGCCCCTCCCCATCTCTCACTCCCCCTCCCTCTCTCTCTCTCTCTCTCTCTCTCTCTCTCTCTCTCAAAACATGTTTTTACCCAACAAAGAATGTGAAATGAAATGTGGTTTAACGTTCTACTGTTCTGCTCCGACCAGGCCAAACAAGAACCTAAATAAAACGTAGACTGTCTTTATGAAATGAAATGAAATGTGGTTTAACGTCCTACTCTTCTGCTCCTACTGGGCTAAAAAAGAATGTAAATAAAGAGTAGACCCTCTTTATAAATTTCATATTTCGAAACCCATCCATTAAATTTTTATTGAGAATGAAAAAAGAAACCAATGTGTGTTAAAGAAATAAAGAAGCTGATACAGTAATCAATCTATTCTTGACAAACATTTTCATAGGTTCTAGAAAACAATATAATTTGACAGCTATATATGATAGATTGTACAAAACTAGGTTAGATGTGTTATAGTGCTCACTGGCTGATTTACTAACACTAACCCTAACCTAAGACCTAGCCCTAAGCATTACCCTAACGCTAACCCACAATCCTCGACCAGAATCATGTGCCCTAACCCCGTTTATATCTCGTGACCGTAGGGATATCTGTGTGTGCACGTGAAACGATCTAGCCATAAAACTACGTTACTGATAGTAACTGGGTCATCTTTGGAATACATTTTGCTACATGATACGTCAATCCGGTTGTTTTAACCAATGAAACACTCTGTTTTTTTTAACAGCGAACTTGTCTGTCAAATGTGTGACGTCAGAGTACTTCATAATATTGACAGGTTAACGGATACAACCTACTATAAAAGATGTGTATAGTATATGAAATAATTCACAGTTAAAAGTAGAAGATAAGAAGTCAACATGCAGTCAGCAGTATTATGTATATGTTTAACTCTACTCATAGTAGTTGGTGTTTCAGATGGTTAGTAATTTACTATTCTATCAATATTGATGGCAATATACCCCGTACTGTCATTTGCTTGTCCGAAACATCTATTTTCTTCTTCGAATATATAAAATATTTTTTCTGAAATATTGTAAATTTGGAATATACTTTTGAACAATTTATGTTTCCTGAGATGTCATCAAGTTTGTTTTTTTTCTAAAATGTTCTCAAGTTGGGATGTTTCTAAGATGCCATTTTGCGCGGATTTTCTGAGATTTCACGAAGTTGTGTTTTTCTAGTGTGGATTTTCTGAGATGTCGCTAAGTTTGGATTTTTCTGAGACGTCATCTAATTTTGATTTTTCTGCGGTTCCATCTAGTTAGAATTTTTCTGCGGTACCATCTAGCTATAATTTGTCTGCGGTGCCATCTAGTTATAATTTTTCTACGGTGCCATCTAGTTAGAATAATTTTTATGAGGTGCTATCTAGTTAGATTTTTGTTTGAGGTGTCATCTAGTTAGAATTTTTTTTAGAATTTTTTCTGAGGTGCCATCTGGAGATAACTATAATCGATAAACATTCTGTTATTGTTTTATAATTGATGCACACGCAAGGCGTTTTGTCGACCATTACCCTGGAAACACTATATAGTACGCATTTCAATAACCAAAATAATTGTTCAATTTGATTTACAGCCTTGTCATGGAGGGCCCCAGCCCCCTCAAGAATATCACCATATATGTGTAGAACAAGGGGACCACCTTGTGACATCGACTGTCCTGAAGGCCGAGAACTTGATTCACGAGGATGCCCGACTTGTAGATGTAAACGTAAGTTATTTAATTATGAAAGCCGCCGATTCTTGATGTCCTTTTTGGATAATATCTATTTTTTTTTACTTTACTTAATCCACACTAAAATGTACTCAAATTGACATTTACACATAGATTATACAAGAGCTAAATCTCCCTATTGCAGGTCTTTCTTTAGACCTGGAATGTTTTCTAAATTATTAATTAGACATTAATTAACTGATCCAGGCCATATTCAACACTCGATGGCATCGGATTTCTCCGATATTAAATAGATTAGAACGATTCAGCCATATTTGGATTTAATCTAAAAATGAAGGAGGGAGACTTGGCTTCGAACAACCAGTACGGTGGTTGAAATTATTGCACACGGCTTTTCAAACCTTCAAAGGCTAATATCTTCGCTGGCAATAGAGTAATTCGAATGAAACTTTCAAATTATTCATTTTACATAATCTATTTTCGAACTATTATAGCAAGATTGGCTAGCTCTTTATCTAAATCTTACATAATGTATCTTTAATTAAATGAACTTGCAAAATCAAAATATGAAAATGGGACCCGACAATTATTGGTGTTGCCGAAGTGCTGTATTCTGGGGGTCTGGGGTGTGGTTTATTCCAACACTAACGACGATAACTCGGAATAAATAATTAAAATTGTACTTTTAATGAACGAGTGTTCAGAACTGGCTAACGGTCACAATAACGAGATAGGTTTCGCTAGGGCCATCGGGCACCAGACTAAAGGTACAGTAGAATATAAAACATATTCTATATGGGGGTCTTTAGTAGTGGTAGGAATCCGGGGGACAGGGAGATAACCCACAAGGTAGGACAGGCGACAATACTCCCTGTCACATAAAGCTGGGAATCGATTGTACGCCAGTTGATTGGATGACAGACCTTATGATCTAAAGCACACGCTACAGACCATTCCCACCACCCGTCCCCGCCCCTCACCCGGGCAGTTGGGTGTTTAAAGTATTCGACTGAAATATTCGAATCAAATATTGTGTTATCGAGGACGTCTGACTGCGAGTGCTACCAATATATTTGTAAGTTTGTATTATTAACATACATCTTCATTGAAATTTTTTAAATTTTCCACAGCCGCCATACATCCACCGTTTAAGCCCGTATGTGGACCAGTTTGCCTCATCTTCTGTGAATTTGGCAATGTTCCAGACGCCAAGGGATGTCCAACCTGCCAATGCAATCGTAAGTCAAGATCTGTATAGTCGTGAACGTGTCATATTTTGCCCCATCTCCCCCTCTCCATCACACACCTTATCTTATTAACGTCCCCGCGGATTAAATAGTGTTACAGTGCTACAAGAGCCCCCCACCCCTACACACACTTAATGTTATTACTCCGCCCCCCCCCCCCTTCGTCACCCCATATACCTAATCTTATTATCTCCCCCACCGATTGATTAATATGAAAATAACCAGCTATTAAAATCGTTGTAGATCGAACTGGTGATGTCAGCAACACCATTAAATATCTGTATAATTTACACGGCTTTATTGGTGGTCTATCCAACCTCGTGGGTTTTCTCCGGGTCCTTCGGTTTCCACCCACTGCTAAAGACCCTTATGCGCAAGCGAATTATTGAAATAAAATTGAACCATATGTTGTCCCGAAATGATCTAGTTGGTGTCGAGTGGATGTTAAACACAATTTCTCCCCCCCCTCTCTCTATACGGCTTTATATATGATCCCTCTCAGGATTCGCCATTTTCAATGTTTCGTTTATTTTGTTTCTTCTAGCACCACCAAAGCCAGTCTGTGGACCAGTTTGTAAAATAGGATGTCCTTTCGGAAATGTTTTAGATTCCAATGGATGTCCAATCTGTCGTTGTAAAAGTAGGCATTTCCTTTCTTCTTATTTTTAAATCGTAATACAATCGTAATGTCAATCAATATAGCATTTTATACGAGGGTTGGGCGGTGGAATGGTCTTACGGTAAGGTTGATCAAGAGACAAATGATATGTCTATATTGATACCTAATTGATTGATAACTGACTCAGCCAAGCACAATAGACTGTAACGCGTATGCACGGCGTGGAAATCAAAGCTTTATGACAAGAAAAATTTATCGCCACGGGTGAAAAAGAATCGCCATACAGCAAAAAGTTATCGCCAAAAATTTCGCCAAATTGAATTTTAGTATTATATCTACTGAAACAGCATTACAGCATGTTCAATAAGCGCGAAATATTCAATTAAGATTCCACTCGCGAGATATAAGAAAGCTTAAAAGCTTATGTAGTATTATCCACTATCTCCTTAAAACAAAAGTTTATTTTAATATATAAATATTGATATATTGATATATCTCTCTTTCAGCTAGCCCAGATGAATTCCCACGCTGTAACGGAATTGGTAAATGTCCAAGATTTTGTAGAAATGGATATGAGGTAACCAGCCAAGGTTGTACCACCTGTAGATGTAAAAGAATCATAACTCGTGAGTTGAAATTGAATTTTTAGATGAATTTAAAAAAATATGCCAATGACCCCATTTTGCTCTCTCACTACTCCTGTGTTGAAATCCAACTGTGCAAGCCAATGTGTACACGGGACCGCGTTTTGCCGTCCCGCAAGAACAACTATACTACATTTTCCTTTGCCAGGCCCTCCGTCAAGAGGGAACCACGCCGGAAGAAACAGATGAACTTTCTCAGTCAACACCGGGAACGAACACTTAACCTCCAAGCTAGTCAGCCAACGTCTTACTCACCGAGACACCATGACTCCATGCTAAAAATGTACACAAGATAATTTGATAACGACGTGATATAAGACATTCGAATTGGCTTTAATTCTAGTCCGCTCATCAGATAATTTGACATGCTTTAATAAAGCAAAGAAAATATAAACGTACTTAAAGATTTAGATAAAGAATATTTTATGTAAGATTCAGATAAAGAACTAACAGCTCGTGCTACCATAGTTCAAAGATAGATAATGAAAAATGAATATATTGACAATTTCGTTCACTTGACATGAGTGTTTGAAGGTGTGTCATAGATTGTTTATTATCGTAGTAACTTTACTTGACAATGGAGACTAATCTCCAGTATCCATTTTATCGTGAAATGCTTTTAAAAATCTCAAGGGTGCTTTAATCCATTTAAATCTCAGCCATTCGATGGTCTATCGAATTAAGTAAAGGCTTGTCATGTGAATAAATATTTAAATAAAAGTTTATATAACATTTGAAAATAAAATAAAGAACTGCGATAAGCAGTTTTAGTTCATACATAATACATCTTTAATGAAAATATGTAACTTTCAGCTAGACCATGTCGACAGGTTAATTGCTATAATCGATGTCCCCGAGGATTTGCCAAGGATTCAAATGGCTGTAAAACTTGTAGATGTATCAGAAATTACGTAAGTATCTTGCAAACAACAAAATATATTCTATCAATTAAATATTCAGTTTTATAATAATTATATTTCGCAATTTAAAAACACAACTAACAAAAAATGGCAGTATATAGTTTCAAACATGCTTGGATGAGATTACATACACTATCGTATAATGCAGCAACCCTGTGGGATACTTTGCCTCTTCATCTAAAAACCGAGCAAACCGTAACCTCATTCAAATCAAAGTTGAAAATGTTTAAATGTTTCTGTTTTAGAGATATTAGTATTATTATATTTTGTGTTTATGTGCTGAAACATTCCATCTGTGTTAGATGTGTAGTCGCCGTCTAGAGCATATCCCTATGTGACGTGGTGATAGGGCAATTTACATTTTTATATTATTATTATTATTATATATATATATATATATATATATATATATATATATATATATATATATATATATATATATACACACACACAGACACATGTCCCACCGCCCGTCGTTCCGACTTCCAAAATTCCTTGCAGGAGATCGATAGGTCAAAGTGTTCATCCGGTCGACTTGCTGTTTATTCATTCACATTATTGATGTACCTGGCATAAGATAGAGCGAACTGACTGAAATTTAACGTCTACTCGACACAATCTAGGTCTTTTCGGGACTGACATATGGTTCATTTATTTTAAATAATTCGCTTGGCGATGGTGTCTTTAGCAGTATGGTAGCTAAACGGGAGGACCTGCCACGTACAAGGGGAGAATCGAACCACGCCATTCGACTCAAAGATTAGACCACCCCAACTCCCAGTACCTGATACAAAGAAGCCCATTTATTGTCTATAATCTACCAAAATTATACCGTCAGATTTATCGCACTAGAAGCTAACCTGATTTACTTGAAATTTAAATGTGTTAGCACTAGTTTCTTTATTAGTCATCGTATATTACTACTTTCAGTTTCCTCTCAGACCACACAGAGAAATTGCTTAAATGGCTTTATTAAAACAGATCGAACAGACGAAATAATAATCCACAGATAGAAGCCACATATAGAGTACAACCCAGTTTATACATCTAGCATATTGAATTGATTCTGAAACCCGATGATTGATGATTGAACCCATTAACAGAAACAGATCTAACAGAAGAACTAAACCGCCAAGAAGTTTAACATTCTAAAATAATAAGATACTAGTCTAAACCCACAAATATAGTCCAACTAGTTTAACACTCTAGAATAATAAACCTACAAATATATAATAAGATAAGATAATAATCTAAACCTATAAACAGAGTACAATCAGTTAACAATTCAAGAATAGTTAATTCTTGATTCGTAAAATTGCTCTCCAGATAAATCATCGTCCAATAACTAACAGATTTTTACTTCATGTAAGTTTGTCGATCGCGAAATCCAACACTACTTACAGTAACGTCTACAATTACCATAGAGATGTTGAAATTCTTAAACACGTTAAACATGACTCTTATTAATTAAGCATTTATTTAAATTATAAACCGTTTTATATACGATTATATGTATATGTATGTAGTTGTATATATGTTATGAATGATATTTTGTTGAATGATCGAATGATTAGTTTTCAGTAAATGTATTTTTTTATATTAAAAGTTTACAAAGGCTTATATACTATAGAAATTACAGTCAGCGTAACTATACGCATGGTAAATGAAATGAAATGAAATGAAATGGGGTTTAACGTCCTACTGTTCTGCTCCTAACCTGGGCTAATGAAGACGGGCATACGCCATACAGTGTGCTATGAGGGAAATTTTGCCCGGGCAGCGGCACTACGGCCTACTCTTATATCGAATTCCAACTGCCAAGGGATCTTTTACGTGCACGCCAATGTGTACACGGGACCTCGGTTTTTCGTTCCATCCGCTATACGCATGGTAGTAAACGCCAAAGTGTACACAGCTCCATAATTTGCACTTCATTCAAAGTCCGCTCGGAGACAATCCCTGTCCAGAGAGAGAGAGGGCAAAATGGGGTTTAACGTCTATTCGACACAAAGTAGGTCATTTCGGGACTAACATATGCTTCAATTTTATTTCAATAATTCGCGTAGGGGTCTTTTGAAGTGAGAGAAAACCGAAGAGCCCAGAGAAAAGCCACGAGGTTGGACAGGCGACCATACTCCTTTTCACGTATTTAGTCAGTTTGAAAGTCTTGTAACAATTGTACGAAGGGTAGTATTAAGAAAAAATTTAACATTCCATGTACATTATTATTTCCATTGTATAAAAAATATACTATAATAATAACCATGATAATTCACTGCCCCACATTAGACCTGTCAATGACCCAAAGGTCGTGGGTTCACTCCTAGGCATGAATATTACAATCCCAGGCATGCGCGGGGACGTGGTTACTGTCTGCGTTTTAGACCATTGGCGTTGTTTCGATTCCCTACATGTACGTGACAAGGTGTAGGGTCGCATGTCCATCCTCGTGGGTTTTCACAATGATATCTTCAACCCATTCGACCACCCAATCCCTACATCCCAATGTCACACGTTGGTCAACATCATTTTGAGTTTTAAATATTGGCCAACATATTACCATAAATAAGATAAATCCATTAAAAGCGGGTTTAATAATCGACACTTATACACATCTAGTTAATATTAAATCAATTACAATAAAGCCAATTATATCGACATTTATAATTCCTCGAGATATGCATTGAAAGTTCAAAGACACTCCATTAAAATTAAACCAATTAGAATAAAGACGCGAAAATAGAAAGGAGAGAAAAAATCCACTGTTAAAGCAATTATAATTCCTCGAGATATTCATTGAAAGTTCAAAGACACTCCATTAAAATTAAACCAATTAGAATAATAAAGATGGGAAAGTAGCAAGGAGAGAAAACATCCACTGTTAAACAAATCAAATGTTGAATATTATTATTATTCTTTACTTGACACCTACTCAAGTCATCATCATATCCGGTACTTTCATATTTACATCTATGCATCTAAAAATAGAAAACGTCATGTCTTTTATCTATTTATATACTGTGATAAGACTAGTTTATACATGATCAAAGTCTGGCTTGTGACGATGAGATATTTGCTTATTGCATCAATACAGACTGGCTTGTGACGATGAATTTTCTTTGTCTTATTTAGTGCTAATCCTGTATTTTCTGTCACGAATTAATGAAGATACTGTAGTTTCTGTCACGAATTAATGAAGGCACGAGGGCTTGCTGAAGGGTTCTAGGCCTATCGGTGATGTACCTGTATAAAGTCAATGGTTTTTATTATTTTTCTACATTGTCATCTTCGGGGACTACACACTTTTGCCAACGATGTTGCAAGGCCTGTATACCGGTCAGGAAGAAATTGTCTCCAGCACCCTAAAGAAGTCGTTCTCCGAAAAAGTACTATAGTTAATACAATTTAATATACTACTTGTCTCCACCAACCGGGCTAATGAAGGTAAGTGTTATATGGGGGACATTTTGCCCGGATAGCGGCACTTCCGTCCAATTCCAGCTGTCAGTGGTTACATAGATTAATACATTCAAAGTTTCGTGGTACAAAGTAACTTGGGATACTAAGATATAACACATGTGATATAAACACTGCAAATAAACAGATAGTGAAGTGTTAAGCGGTGGACACACTAGCCTAATGATTCGGACGAATCGTTTGGCCGAATCAATCGGCGTCGAAATACGCCTAGTGTGTCCACTGTCAATCGGCCGAATGATTCGCCCGAATCAAACAGTTTTGATATATTCGGCCCAATTATATTCGCCTGGTGTGTCCGCTTCGCCGAAGCATTCAGCCGAATAGAGAATTCATTAGCCAATCACCACTCATATCGAGAAGTCACGTGATAGATTGAAGACGTAGACGCCGCCATGTTTAATCATGTGACGTTAAAGGTGATGCAATCGACAGTTTGAATCGGGTGAAGCATTCGGCTAGTGTGTCCACCCATTCGGCCGAATAAAATTCGGCGCCGATTGATTCGGCCGAACGATTCGCAATATGTGTCCACTGCTTTAGACAGTGAATTGATATAGACATTTATAGTTCGGTTCCTCGTGACACGCAGTGAAAGATCAAAGACACCCAATTGCTCTAACATTTTAAACTGCTGAAGAGGCAGGGGAGGGAAGCGGTGAGGTGGTAAACGTTTTAATGTATGTATAATGTATTAAATGTGTACCTACCCACGTAACTGTAAGTTAAACTGAAACCCATACACACGATATTATCACCGTTTTGTGAGATCGCTACAACAACATCCCCTGTCGCCGTGAACGGTGATGGAGCAGTCCCGCCACAATACCGGAAGCTGTAATAAAAGACATTACATACAAATACTCTACTTAATGAGTACAAACATTAGAGTACTTACATCTACTCTACGTAATAAGAGATATTACATACAAATAATCTACGTAATGAGTACAAACATAATAGTACTTACAGCTACAATACGTAATAAGAGATATTACATACAAATACAACAGATAGTACTTACATCTACTCTACGTAATAAGAGATATTACATATAACACCCTACGTAATAGGTACAAAAATGCATTAAACATTCAAAGGGAAACTAATTCGAATTTTACGTAAAGCATTAATAATCAAACCCGCACGCCATCGCTTCTATATGTTACTGTTAACGTAAGATTAAAACCGTCGTCTTCACCAGAATCAAGATCTATGAATTAAAACTAAAGTAGAACACTGATGCCCAAACCATGTCAAATTTTATTCTTAGAAATAAACTCAACATCGCAAAGCAGCGGAATCAAAACAATAGACAACCCACCTTTCGGATGTACTGCGATCCTCAAGAATTGCGGCATCTTGACATAAATCATCACCCTCGCCGAGACTTGAGTGTGGATCACACTGTGATTGACCTATTTTCTGTATTACAAAATCCTCATCAAATACAATGAGGATCTGTTTTCCAGGACATTTCGGAATGGTAGCCAAACCAGTGCCTGTGTTTGGGTAATTATTAGGGTAGTAAGGTGATGTTATAATATTGTCTATAACTGAAAGAAAAGAACAAAGAGATTACTATGTTTCGTTTCACACGATCCACTCAGTGACATCATATTCAGTGGAATGTTAAATTAACGAATTATTTGTACTGAAGTGTCAATGGAATGAAATGGGGATCAAGGTCCCACTTTTCTGTATTGACTGGGCGAATGGTACCGAAGGAATGTTACCGAAGCAATGGTTTGTATCAACATTGGTTGTACTATCATAAAATATTTATACAGAAGGGGTGGATGTAATAAATATTAACTCATGCGTGTGACTAGTTCGGTATTACATAAATTATAGTGTTGTATAAACTGATCTACTCACCTTCACCTTCACCTTCTATTCAAGCAGGAACATTTGAATCCCCCTTCGATACGAGAACAAGTTCCACAATTCTGACAGGGGTTCGGCTCACATTCATCATCTATAAATAAAAAATTAAGATTAAAATAGATAAAATACAAGCACTTCGATGTTTACGGTAGATGAATACATATAACAATTAAATTCTTGTTTTTTTTTCAAGTATTGGCGTGTTTGGCTGTACTCCCTATGTTTACTACTCCCAATCCCGCAAAGATATCTGGTGACTTTAGGCTCATGTATGGTCCGCCAAATCAAAGACGTCTCGTTATTTTAAATATAAGATTTCTACTTTCACTGTGAAACCAACCCGAGGTTTACTACCAGGCAACATGATTAATAAAATTACTGGAAATATGCTGCTGGTGTAAAATATGGCAGTAAACACATTTAGATTATATTATAGTAGTATTGGAAAAGTATCTTACTCTCGCAATTATCACCGGTATATCCATCCGCACATTTACAGGACACTTTACCTGCCTCTGGTACACAAGTTCCACCATTTTGGCAAGGTTCAGCAGCACACAGATCAACTGGAATTAATTTAAAATAATCGTGATCAAAATAATGTACAAAAAAAAAAAAAAAAAAATCCCCACTGTAAATTTTCAACAAATATTGCAGAAAATCTCGAAAGCCACGATATTTTAGGGACGCGACAATTTGAAAATCGCCGTTCCTCCCGTGCAGCCTAGTAGGAATTATTATTTAGGAATTAAAAGATATAAATCAGCATTTAAAATCGCATAATTCGCTTTAGATCGCAAGGTCTGTCATTAAGTCAAGTGACGTGGTTGAACGTGTCAATGAGTATTGTCGCCTGTCCAACTTCTACACTTGTCACGTAGCTTTCTCGAGAACCGGGAACCACGGTAGCTATGTGGGTAAAATAATGCTCATAAATAATGCACAACAAAATAATCTCGTCCTTACATTTTCAATAAAAATTCCAGAAATATCTTCCAGAAGATATCGAAAGCCAAGATTTTTGAGGACGCAACCATTTGATTATTGTCGTCCCCGTGTAGCCGAGTAGGAATTGTTATTTAGGTATTAAAAGATATAAATCAGCATTTAAAAACGCATAATACGCAAGCTCTGTCATTGAGTCAAGTGGCGCAGTTTCACTTCGTCGCTTGAAGGTGGCAAGCCGATTCCTACCACAGCTTGAGTCAACTGGCGTGGTTTCGAATCCCCGGTTGTACGTGGCATGGAGTAGGTCGCCTGTCCAGCCTCGTGGGTTTTCTCCGGGTCCTCCGGTTTCCTCCCACTGCTAAAGACCCCTACGCTCAAGCGAATTATTGAAATAAAATTAAACCATATGTTTGTCCCGAAATGACCTAGTTTGTGTCGAGTGAACGTTAAACCCCATTTCTCTCTCTCTCTCTCCCTACCACAGCTAAAGACCACAACGAGAATTATTGAAATAAAACTGAATCGTATGTTAGTCCCGAAGTGACCTTGATTTTGTCTCTCTACTACAGGGCAACATGTTGGATGAAATTATTGGAAATATATTACTGGCATAAAATATAGCATTAAAATAGGTTCAATTATATTATTATAGTATCATTGAAAATCATCTTACCCTCGCAATTATCACCGGTAAATCCATTTGCACATGAACAGGACACTCCACCAGCTTCTGGTACACAAGTTCCACTATTTTGGCAAGGTTCAGCAGCACACAGATCAACTGGAATTATATTTAAATAATCGTAATCAAAATAGTGTACAAAAAAAATCAAAAAAAAAAATCCCCACCTTAAATTTTTAACAAAAAATTAAGAAATAATTTGCAGAAAATCTCGAAAGCCACGATATGCAATTTGAAAATTGCCGTTCCCGTGTAGCCGTGTAGGAATTAAAAGATATAAATCAGCATTTAAAATCGCATAATTCGCTTTAGATCGCAAGGTCTATTATTGAGTATCATTCAAAATCATTTTACCCTCGCATTTGTCACCGGTATAACCATCCGCACATTTACAGGACACTTTACCTGCCTCAGGTACACAAGTTCCACCATTTTGGCAAGGTTCAGCAGCACACAGATCAACTGAAATTATATTAAAATAATCGTGATCAAAATAATGTACAACAAAAAAATGAAAAATAATCCCCACCGGGAACCACGGTAACTATGTGAGTAAGGCACTGGCTCGCTAGCCTGGAGGTCAGTGGTGCAGAACGGAGATCCTGAGATGAACAGCTGTCTAGTCTTTCGGATGGGACGAAAAACAAAGGGTCCGTGTATACATTGGCGTGCACGTAAAAGATCCCTTGGCAGAGTAGGCCATAGTGCCGCTGCCCGGGCAAAATTAAAATCTATATGTATACAAAAACCGAAGCCTTTCATAAACACCACATTAAAAAGACATTCAACATTACACAGGTGTATAAAATACATAGGTAAACATAGTCAGCTAGGTTGAAACGAGAAGACAGAGATCTCTTATTCGAATTAAAGCCACCAAGAGTTAAATACTAGGCCTACCTATAGTTTAACAGAAGCACAGATCCTCGTTTATCATTCGTTCGGATCTTACAGTTGCAAGGTTCTTCTCTGTATATTATATATTGTTTAAATAATATCGTCAATAAAAATGCAGTTACGAGCGCAATATAATATATGATGTAATTCTACCTAGACAATATGATCTACCTGATGAAAGTGTCAAGAATTCAGTAGCACGTATAATTATTACCTTCACAACATTTACATAAGTCGTCTCTTTGCATTTTCGAACAGCTTATAGTTGCAAGGTTGCAAAAGGGTCGTCTTCTCCGATGACTTCTTTTCTGTAGGTGTCCAGAGGAAACCGATAAGAAAACGGCAGCCACGGCAACGCTAATTATAAACATATGCATAATTATTAATTAACGACACGTCAAGCTATTGATAAGAACAAATAAACGATAATGTTGCCAATACTGGATCTACTTTCCTTTATATATGGTTTATCGGACGGCGTGGTGTGCATTGGGCTGATGACACGTATCAATTTACGGCCAAATTTCTAGCGTGGTCTTCTCTCTATACATTAATATAGGCGTGTATTAACATCACTGACAGATATGTTTATTGATATTCATAAAACTATAAAGGATTTTTAATGGGTTTTTTTAAAATATATTTTATTCACAGATCACTTTTCCTGTTTACAATACAAAGTATGTAATAATATATAGTATTATATACACAATATACTATATACAGAACCCCATAGATACCCACATACATCTTAAGCAGTAGTCTGTAATGATAATGAAAATAATAATAATAATTTAGAGTTCAGGTAATGATGATCAAAATCATCTGGAAAAGTATTGTAAATAGTTATGATAAAGGTAAAATTAATCCCAATCAATTAGCGAACGAGTATTAAGGTCAAGATCACCTCATGCAATTAGTAAATTATTTTTAATAATCAGTATGCAGGTAACTATGATCTCAAACCATTAATAAATTATTTTTAATAATTAGTATGCAGGTAACTATGATCTCAAATCATTAGTAAATTATTTTTAATAATTAGTATAACTATGATCTTAAACCATTTGTACAATATTATAGATAATTAGTGTGCAGGTAACTACGATCTCAAACCATTAGTACAATATTATAGATAATTAGTATGCAGGTAACTATGATCTCAAGCCATTAGTACAATATTATAGTTTATCAGTATGAAGACAACTATGATCTCAATCCATTAGTAAAATATTATAGATTATCAGTATGAAGACAACTATGATCTCAATCCATTAGTAAAATATTATAGATTATCAGTATGAAGACAACTATGATCTCAATCCATTAGTAAAATATTATAGATTATCAGTATGAAGACAACTGTGATCTCAACCTATTAGTAAAATATTATAGATTATTAGTATGAACGTAACTATGATCTCAAGCCATAATTATATTTAGTTTCAGGTAACTATTAGTAAATTGTTATACATACTTAGTTTCCGGTAGCTATGATAAGGACTATGATTTAAGAACTAAGAACACTGAATAAAGAGCTGATTGGTCTTACATAGATGGGTACCAATACGGTACCACATTTAAGTAATTTAACATTGGGATTTCTAGAGGAAAACTATCGCGTTCTCAATGTTTCTGGAAGTCCGAGGTACATCAAAATCATAGTGCGCGCTTTAGGGAGTCCACAAGCAAAACAGGCGATTTTTCGTACAATCAGGGGCAATAATCTAGGAAGTGTTTGTCTAATATGTGTCAAAATCGAACTCGCCCGCGATATTTGAGATATAAACTATATTTTAAGTATCGCCAAAATCTAATCGTTTTTTGTACGAATTCAAATTTTCATATTTACAGCGGTAATAAAAGGAAAGGAAATAAGGAAAGCCCAACAAGGAAATAAAGTTTATATTATCAGAAAATATCAACAACATGTATATCAAACAGTTATTAAATTAAAATTAAAATCTACATCTGGATGACGAATAAACAAGAAATGTCTGCACACATGTTACCGTTTGAAATTTACTGCTAGAATGTAAAAGGAGCTAAATCTCTATTCTTTGACACCTTGAAATTGACAATCTATATAATAATGTAATATGTATGTATATAAAGTGATTTACAATCAACCGTTTCCGTTTTTACTGTATGTTCTAACTAGTTATGTTCGGCGAAATACACAAAGCGTGCAAATTGAACGACGGTCTTTGATGTCTGGTTATTCCAGTCTACACGACAGTATTCTCCAGTGGGATATATTTAGCCTTGTTCATTGAGTCGATTCATTACAAATGGCGCTCGAAAGCATTCTGGCACGCGATTCTTGTTCATTTTGTCTTAAATATTGAATATCAGAAGCCTATCTTGTCATGGTAAGATAACAAGGCAGTGTAACCGTTAGCTCGATTGGTGAATATTGAAAAACGGGTTATTGGTTTTTCGATATTGGCGAATAACAAAAATACGAGCTTCTTGTTTTTCGATATTCAAACTTGAATCTCAAAATAGCAGAATTGATAGATGTACATCTACAGAATGTCTCCAAAACACATTTGATTAAAATAAGTTTTCTAAAACGAACTAAAGATATAATAAATGAGGCTGTCTGGGCAGTGAATTCACATGAAAACTGCATTTTATCCCTTACGATATTAAAAAAAAACCCAAGAAAAAAGTGCAGTTTTTATGTGAATTCACTCCCCAGACAGCCTCATGTATAATATCTTTAGTTCGTTTTAGAAAACTTCTCTAATCAAATTTGTAGCTGTTTTACCGAGAAACTAGCTACTTGTTTTTTGTTATTCGCCAATATCGAACAAAAAATCGATCTTACTCCACACTACCAGATAACACTAATGGTGATTTACATTGACAAATAAATCGTATTTGCAGTGGTGTAGGAGGAAGGGTCTGTCAGGAGACAACATATAGATTTTCGGAATGGAGGAAAAACCTAAGCCCCGTGTGCACAGTGTGGTGCACGTAAAAGGACCCTGGACAGTTCTAATTCGATATAAGAGTAAACCGTAGCGCCATTGGGGAAAAGTCGAGAAGCAAAGTAGGACGTTATACCACATTTGATTGTTTTTCACGTTAATGGATGCTGTAAATAGGAATATTGTGAAACCTCTACCCCTGGAGTTTCTTGCCAAGTTACAAAAGTTTATTTTTGTTTGTCATTTTGTTGTTTCAACGACAATCCCTGTGCGGATACAAGAGGTATCTCGTGCACTCAAGACCATTTGTGGGGGACTGTTTCATAGCGAAAACTTTATACATTGTCAGCTACTTAACGTCGGGTTTAATACTGTTATTAGAACAGAAGTGTGACAGTGGCAATATTCACCATTTGACAAGAAACTAAAAGTGTTACACTATCGGAAACAAGGGGTCTTCGTGCCCCCCCCCCCCTTTAAACATTTTTCTGGTTACAAGTACCGAATCTGTTCTGGTCTCGATGCAAGCCTTGTATTTGGAATCGTTGTTATTGATATTTGCAGATTTTGATTGTTTCAATTTCTAATAACACTGATTGGTTTGTGAGGTACCCTTATCCACTAAAATACCTAGCTATTTGTACCATCGCCTCCCTTTTCTAAATATGTCACGTGTTATAGATAAATATACTCTTAAAAAAAAAAAGAAACGCATAGACCATTTTTCAACATTTTTTTTATTTGAACGGGATCATTGCTTCCATAAATCTTACTCGTTTTTAATGTCATTATGTAAGGATAAAAGAAATTCATGATTGGTTTTAAATCTAGAGTTACTAATTGTGACTAGCCATACGTTTTGCCGAAATTTGTTTTCGCTTGATTGCACCAAACCACATGAGTTTAACAACTTTTCGCATGAAACTGAAAGCCAAATCGAAAGCCTTTAAAATCCCGGGATTCCCGGTTTCAAAATCAGATGCACATGTAAACACTCAAAGAGCCAGGTGATGCTACATCCGAACGAAGACCAACGCAACAACTGTTATCTTAAAACGGCTGGGGATTATGCGCCGTGCAGATTTATAAATTGAAGAATAGATTGTTGATTTGATGTTTATTCCGCCATTCTACAAAGTCAACCTCACATTCACAACGAGGCTCCAAATATTCGATTATCCAGAGAAAACATTATATAGCTGTGATTAACCAGACTTCAGTAGATATTTAAGGGTTATTAAATAGAAGATAGAACATGTGCAGAAATAGGCCATTCTGACATGTAGGTTAGCAACAATTAGTAATACACATTAAAAACGGAAATAATCCAAATGAGATGTATACTGACTACTGCTTGTAGTAAAGAAGAAGAATAAATTTATACAAAGCGAACAATACATGAATAATAAACATGGTCAAAATAGATATTAAGCTAGAAAATGTTCATTATACTTGTACATTACAACAGAAGGCAAAATTCTGCAGGAAAAATAAATATTTCAAAAATCCACATATAAATGAAAACACACAATTTTAAGGCAAATTTATGGAAGGAAAAACAATGTCAAAAATGAAAATATAAAAAACGTCACAATTTTTAGGCAAAATTATGGAACGAAAAAAATGTCAAAAATGCAAATATAAAAATTGCCGCCGACATCGGCACCGTGATGGGACATATTTAGTCATAGTCGACTTCGTGATTCTCATAAATCTCATGATTGACTGGAGCTAAATTCAGAACCTACTGCCAGGATTATGCACGGAACGTTTTGACTTTTAATATTTGCAGTGGGAGGAAACCGGAAGACCTGGAGAAAAGAGAACTTGACTCAATGACGAGCCTTGTGATCTAAAGCGAACAATTTAAAATATTAGACCCCACACTCCCACCCACGTGTTGTCGGGTAATGAAAAGAGCAAGTTTTTATATCGTCACTATTTGCCACTGTACATATCATAAGGTATATAGCAATCCAAATAATAGTTAATAGCCTTGTTTGTTAAAACTGTGTATGCGCAGGATACACAGTGTTATTTTCATTTATCAAATGCTTTATTTTTTTATTTCCCCCCATGGAACTATAATGAGGCAACACGACTGCAATCATTCTGTTTGATATTGTACGGTTTCATTTTACAATGATTGCGATCATATCTAAATATCTTAAAGGAACTAAATCTCTTGAAATGAAGAGTTGGACTTGGTTGACCTGATGTGTTATTAGAGAAATGTGTCCTTTTCCCTGCTGAAAAGAGCCAACGCTACTTCCCCAGAATCTAATCGTGACGAAATGGTGTCTGAAAAATCTAAGACGGTCAAACAGCACAGACTGAGCCTGGGGATTAACGAGGTACTATTTAATTCACTGGTCAGTCTACAATGACTACTAGTATACCCGAGCTTCAAAATTTGACCGAAACAAGGTACTAGTCTGAAAACTGAGTATCTATTTTTCTAGAAACTGGCTGAGAAGGAGGTTTTTCTCTCTGGCTCAAAATGGGTACAAACCTATGCCCCAATTTTAAGAACTAGATGTTTGATGTCACTGAACCTATTAGTTTCCAGGACACCTATTTCACACAGAATCTCATTTTCTGCAAAACACATTTAAATAAGGTCTACCACCTATAGCACTTTCTAGTCGAACGAACAATAAATTGTTTATTGGAATTTTCGATTGAAGAGAAGCTGTAAAATACTCGACCAAATTGTTAATTTAAATGATAATTTAAGGTCTACCCTGTAATACGGAAATTGGTAACACGTTTCAACACCATATCGTTCTTCCCGAAATAAATTGTTCAGGAAAGTGTTTTTTGGCGTTAGTCAAGGTTATTTACAAATATTATATGTTAATGTTTTCAAAACATTAGTTCTTTTGTTCTTTGGTGTTAGTTGTAAATGTTTGTCTGACGTAAGTTTAGAAACGTTACGGGATACGTGTTTATGTCGTTAGCCAATGCCAGTTAAAAACGTTACAGGGTGCGTTAACAGAACATTACTGTTAACGCTTTCAAAACATTAGTTATTTTGTTACCCGACGTTAATTGAAAATATTAGTCTGACGTAAGTCAGGAAAGTTTTCTTAGTCGTTAACCAACGTTATTTACAAACGTTACAGAATACGTCACTGTAAACGTTCGTAGCAGGAATTTAAGTAGTCTTCTGTCTGGTCAAAAAGCATACTGCACGCAGCGACCCATCTACGTCATACTTCCCAGAATGTGACACTGCACTGATTACCCGCCATTTAAAACGTTCACGTGATCATTTTGGGGCGGGACTTATCGACTATACACCGTTTGTTTAGACAACAGAGTAAAAATAACCCAAGCACGTGTGTTTTATGTAAACACGCCATGTCGCTGACACTCGCGTAAAGCGATATATAATATGTGCTATGGGTAATATTGCAATAAATTCTTTACCATTGTAAACTGTCTTTAGAGTTTTAATCTGTTTATCTTTCAAAACAAGGTTAGATACTCCTAAATTTGTTTTCGCAAACAAAACCGCCTCTGTGATATTATGTTTCATGGGCGCCGCCATATTGAATAATTAGAGGACTATTTTGTGATTCGGCTTTGATTAGTTTGACATCTTTCATACACACAGCGGCTAAATAAACATATTTAATTTCATTCAATATGACAATAGAAGAGAAATAAATACTTTTAAAAATTTCTAAAAGCATACTCAGTGTTTTCGACTAAAATCGTCGATGTAGGAATTAAAATGTCGGTTAATTAGCTTAGGGCCTATTCTCAGACGGAGGTAGCTGTAGATAGGCAGCCTAAGTTTGGGATGGTCAAAAAGGTTTCAGAAAATGTTCCTGAAACGTTCCCATGCCACAAAGGTTCACTTGACGTCATCAGGGAAAGTTTTTCTCAAACATTCTACATGAACGTTAAAAACAGATTTGCGGAACGGATTTTAAATGTTTTCATAAAAAGCTCCCAGGAAGTTCTCTAGCATGTGTTAAATTCTCTCTACCGTAATTATCAGAAATCATTGGAATTTGTGGGCTTTTATTTCTGCCATATACTAACGTTTAGTATACGAAACATTTAATATCAAGGGTCATAACTCTGAAGTAATTATCGGAAATGTTATCTGTCTCGTTGCCTGGTCCCAACCTTTTCATAATTTGTTGTTAGGCTGGAAGGGTTTTACCAGAATAGAGCAGCAGATGGCCATGCCTTTGTTCCAAATTATGAAATTTGAACTACACGAACTTGCAGTTTTCAAATTGTGTGGTTCCGATTTCCCCACTTGAAAGGACATCTAAAGACGCCTACGCTCAAGCAAATTATTTCAATACAATTGAACAATAGGCTAGTCCCGAAATAACCTTGTTTGTGTTGAGTGGACGTTAAACCCCATTTCTCTCTCAATCATAAATAACTTATTTATGAGATTCCAAACATCTTTAGTATCCACTATCGATAGGTATTTATTATGTATATAAATAAAATGGGGTTTAGCATCCTGTTTCTGCACCAACCGGGTTCGCGAAGACGGGTATAATGTTGATATTCCTTTTGGAAGACTAAGCGAAAGTAGGTCTGTTAACTAATATCAGTTTGATTTTTTTCCCTTAAACTGCTGAACACTCAACAACTGTGTAGTGACAGGACCGAACAAGGGCATACTGTCATTCCACAAAGCCTTATTATCATCCCACAACTAAGGACGGATTGTCATCCCACGAAGCCTGATAACCATCCCACCAAACGCGATTACCATCCCACAAACACAAAGTGAGATAAATGGGGTTTAACGTCCACTTGAATCAATGACAGACCTTATGATACAACGCGCAAGTGCTAACCATTCGGCCATCTAGCCCACCGCGAGTACCATTCCGCAAAGCCTGATTACCATCCCACAAACACAAATGATCATCACACAATACCTGATTGTCATCCCAGAAAAAGATATATTGCGATCCAACGAAGACAAATTTGTCAAGAAACAAAACAAATCAACACATCACATATACAATCATATTTTTATAGGCCCATAATTTAAAATCAGTTTCTGGGTAGACATGGAAGATAGACTGTAAACCCACAACGCTCGATTTTCATCCCACAAAGCCAGGGCAGCCCTCGGCTCGTGTAAGTTTTCAACCATGGTTCAACTAGGTCTCGACCATGCGCATCCGATCTTGAAATGGTTAGACTATGGCCGCGACTGTGGTTAACCCACCTTTGGAGGTCGGTGAAGGCTGGTCAAGTCAGATTAAAAATGGAGGCCCACGACAAAACATATTTTTTGTTGGAATTGTTATTTGAAGATAGAACGTATACAACCAATTTTGCCTCAGAACCTCAGAGTTATTTAAATTCAGATAACATATTTAAGTAGTTTCCATATTATATAGATATTTGGTTGGTTTGTTTATTTTATTGTCTGGGGATAACACGGTCACTAACTCAACTGTGGGTAGATTTCTTGAAATCGTCGTTATCATATTCTACCTTTAGTACAGTTTTTTCAGCATAGTCAGAAACTTTTGGCAAACGTTCTGGGGAATTTGTCTCCAAAGAATGTTTTTTTGGTGTCATATCAAAGTTTTTGGAAAGCAAACTTGCAGTTTTGTCAAGTAAAAGGTTTTGTACCAGTTCATTGAAGAGAGCAGTGTTCATTTTGACGACTTTGGTCGCACTAGCTTCTGTTCTGGCGTGAGGAACTATATTTTGTCGTACAGTCGTGACCATACAAAAGCACCCCAAGGCTGCCCAACTTGTCATCTCACAATGGCAGATACATGTAAGTCTTCCTTCCAAGGCAGAAAGGTCATCCTCAAGAACTAATCAAATCGACAATCATATGTTTTTTAGGTCAACAGTTTGAGTCAGTTTCTGTGCCATGTATATTGTTGTGACCAAAATAAAGGGCAATATCTTTAAAGTTTAAATAGATGTTGATCAGGATCTGGTTGTATATAACATGTTTCTAATACAGGTAGATTCTGGTTGGTAAGCCAACAGGTGTTAATACAGGTATACACTATCACAGTACCAAACTCAACACTTTCACCTGGAAATATAGATACAGGTATATCAAATTCTACACCTAGAAATATAAACACAGGTATATCAAACGCTACACCTAGAAATATAAACACAGGTATATCAAACTGTATTCACCTAGAAATATAAATACAGGTATATCAAACTCTATTCACCTAGAAATATAAACACAGGTATATCCAACTCTATTCACCTAGAAATATAAACACTGGTATATCAAACTCTATTCACCTAGAAATATAAACACAGGTATATCAAATTATATTCACCTGAAAATATAAATACTCCCAATGATTTATTGAAAATGACAAGTTTGCATTACTGTCCCGGTTGCATGTTCGTTGTTAATGTTATCAACACCATACATGTTTGATATGTGGTCACATGAAAAACTGTACTGGGTGTGACCTTAAAGGTCAGTCATCTTGTACAGTGCTTAAAGAAGACTTTTGGGTTAGGGTATGCATGACTGACAAGGGAACCAGTGTTTATATAAGATCCAATTTTTCATGATAAGGATTCAAGGACCTAGGCCAGGCCCAGAATAGACTCACCATGTATATTCTATAAGCCCAGAATAGACTCACCATGTATATTTTTAACATAATTCACAAGTGGTGGCATCAACTGTAGTTCAAAGACACATTTAGCTTGACAGTTTGTACAAGTTATCTCCCTTACACCAATATCTCTCGGTGGAGAAATAAACATGGGTTCATCATTCCAACAGTATCTGTAATAAAAATAATAATAATAATGTGATTTTTTGGCTAATTAAATGTTTAGAGACAAAACAAAATGCCTGAGTTTGTTTAAACAGATTGGGGGTGGGGGTGGGGTCTGAGTTTGTTTAATAGTGAGGTCTGTCTCATAAGGTCTGTCATTGAGTCGGGGGGTTGGATGGCTGAATGGTTAGCGTGCGCGCGCTGTATCATACAGTCTGTCATTGAGTCGACTGGCGTGGTTTCGAATCCCCGGTTGTACGTGGCAAGGAGTAGGGTCGCCTGTCCAACCTCGTGGGTTTTCTCCGGGTCCTCCGGTTTCCTCCCACTGTTAAAGACCCCTACGCGCAAGCGAATTATGTAAATAAAATTAAACCGTATGTTAGTCCCGAAATGACCTAGTTTGTGTCGAGTGGACGTTAAACCCCATTTCTCTCTCTCTCTCTCTGTCATTGAGTCAAGTGGCATGGTTTTGATTCAACAAGGAGTACTTCGCCTGCCCAACCTCATGGGTCTCTCTTTCTCTCTCTCTTAAACAGATTGTGTTGTATTCATGTACTGTTTGTTCTATGTTATTCCCATATCTTTAAATATATTATTCAAGTTCAGGCCATAAAAAAACAAATATTCCGATTCTCGATCACTCCTTTCAAACAATCCGATGATGGGGGAGATTTTTATTTTTGTGTTTTTATTTTGTTAAAGGATCACTACAGGACTAAAAGAATTTTCATAAACATCAAATTTCAATTCACTACATTTCTCTTATGTCGTTTATAGGAATGTATTATTATCTAGTGTCATTCATGATTGTCAGTAATATGTATCAGGATTGCGTATGCTTCAAATTGAGACAGTTTTATTTTTTTTAAACTAGGAACAGGTAATGCAGTCCTTTTTAAGCGACAACGGATTATCTGAAAACTTTGGCCTTACCTAATGCACTGACGAGGGCAAAGTTTTAAACGTTTTAAAAATTTGTGTGAGTATTTATCTCCCTTTATGGCTGTTTTCTCATATTCTTCCACTGCTCCTCCTCCACCAGTATTCTGCCCAGGGCATTTTGATGAACTGAAAATAAATGTTCAACTTTAATGCACTAACATAAAATGGTGAGAGGAATCATATGGGCTATGTCTGTTTCCCAATTCTAGAATTCAATAAATAATGTTTGTATAAAATCCCCCACCAAATTAAAGCTTTCAGTGTGATTTTCTCATGCAAATTTCCAGGGAATTTGCAGTGGATGGTTTTGAAAATAAGCTTCAAAATTTAATGTAAAGAAGACCACTATATTCTAATATTTTCAGGGAGCTAGAATAGTTCATATTTACATTTACAATGTACTAACGGGTTAAAGGACAATATTGGTCTCAGTCATTATAAAATATGTGATAGAAGTGGTTAAATACATTTCAAATATAATTTTAACACAGAGATGAATGCTACGGGAGATGTGTAACAAGTACGTGAAGAAACGGAAAGTGACGACAAACATGACAAACACGAGTTATCTTACTATATAACTGAATGAAGTAACGAGCGATAACAGAGACGCGATCGAATTTCATTTCACTGATAATTCAGTTGAAGATGAAAAGTTATTATATGAGACGGTGAGAGGATATCTGACAATTCAAAAAAAAGAATTGGCTGTCATTAGATAAAAGATAAAGAACAAATTAGAAAAAGTCCCTGCATTACCATGTTTTTATTAAGAACAGAATGAATAAAAACGAGGGAATGCCTAGGGTTTTTTCTATTTTTCTCGTTTTCCCTTATCTAGTGACAGCCAATTCTATTTTTGAATTGTTAGATACCCTCCCACCGTCCTATATAATAACTTTTCAACTTCAACTAAATTATCAGTGAAATGAAATTCGATCGTTTGTCTGTTATCGCTCGTTACTTCAATCAGATATATAGAAGGATAACTTGTGTTTGTCATGTTTGACGTCACTTCCCGTTTCTTCACGTGCTTGTTACACATCTCCCGTAGCAATAATCTCTGTGTTAAAATAATATTTAGAATGTATTTAACCAGTTCTATCACATATTTTATAATGACTGACACCAATATTGTCCTTTAAATATGATTCTTTGTCAATAATTAAATAGTAATTGCAGGGTGACTGCACCACACACAAACAATTACACAAGACAAACCTACGGACATAACATAATATACAGACACAACAAACACAGATCAAGTGAATATCCACATGGTTAGACAGTCAACCATATTCCTTGTCACATACAAGTTTAGAATTGAAACCATACTGGTTGATTCAAAGACAAACCCAATCAAAGAACTGCTATGTTACAGAATGTATAAAAGTATAAAAATCACTGATCCTGATCGTACACATTGTCTTTTTAGAGACTCACTCTCATTATATTGAAGTATGCAAGGCATTCAAAATTATTTACACACCTCCTTACAATATCTCCCATAATTACAACTATTGATGTTTTAAAGTCACTATTCCCTGTATCAACCTTCTGTAAACAAGCCTGGAAATAAGGCACCTGTCACAGACAATGTCAGGCACAGATTCAGGCTATGTCAGGCACAAAACCTCTGGTGCCTGTCATTTTGTCCGGCTCTGATATTATTAATACATGTCCGACACTAAGTTGAAAATGTCAGGTACCATTTCATTACTGCCTGACATTTTGTCAGGTACAATGTACATCTAAAACCGTTATTTCCAGGCCTGCCTGTAAAGTCATTATGCATTGATATTGAGGTAATATAACCCTCCAATAACCTCGCTTTGAATTTAACGTGCACAAGATAACTATAATCTTTATATAGTTTGTGTAACACATTAGTATTTTCATGGTTGTTATTTGAAATAAAACATGTGAGCTACACGTACATGTACACCCTTAGTATTTGTATTTTAAATAACAATCCGGAAAACGGTTACTATCTTTTACTTACATGAAATGAAATGAAATGGGGTTTAACGTCCTACTGTTCTGCTCCGACTGGGCTAATCAAGACGGGCATACAGCATACAATGTGCTATGAGGGAAATTTCGCCCGAGCAGTGACACTACGGCCTACTCTTATATCGAATTCCAACTGCCAAGGGATCTTTACATGCCTTCCAGTGTATACACGGGACTTCGGTTTCTCGTCATGACTAGACAGCTGTTCTTTGTCAGGCCCTCCATCCTGCACCACTGACAAGGGGAAACCACACCAGAAAATTCTTTTACTTAAAGCTGAACTCTGATTACAAAACTACAGAAATAATCAATATACTGGATGTGGGTGTGGCCTGTCTCATGTTTGTTCTACAAATTAAAAACAAGTATGGCAATTGTTTAGGGTGTTAATTTTTTTTTATTTAATTATTTCTGTAGTTTTGTAATCGGAGTTCAACTTTAAATGGTGATCAGCAGCTAGTAAACATCCAAATTATCAGGTTATTTTTACCTTTTGACAAGAGATTTTATATCTGTTCCCGTTTCTCGTTCATATTCCTTTAATAATTTACCAACTTCAACATTATCAGGCACGATGTCACTTTCATTCATCACACTTAAATAGTATGACTTAAATGGTGTTTCCGTCACTTCTTCACACGAAATATCTGGTTCCGGTTTACCTGACGATTTCACTGCTAACAGATCAACAACATGTCCAACAGACTCTTTGGAAATGACATCATCGGTCTCTTCTTGAACAATGTTCAATGTCTGATCATCGTTACTATGGCTACTGTTTGTATCAGAAATGTCATCTACATCAACTAAATTCATTTGTTCAAATTTTAATCCAGGAAACTTTTTCGCTTCTGGTTGTGAATTCGATTTATTAATGTTTCCAGTTACCATAGCAACTGCATCATCATCGCCATCTTCCCCCCAATCATCAGCATCATCACACCAGTCTTTAGTATCCAGGGTTACAGGGTCTGTTGTTATAGGGTCTCCCCAATCATCTTCATCCACTCCCCAGGTGTCTGTACTGGTCGACATATTATTTGTCGCTTGTTGTGTTGTCTGTGATTGATCTAATATTTGACAACGCTGAACTTTCCAACTGAAAAAAAAAAAAAGTTTTAATTCAATTGGATGAAAATGGATCACTTAACCAGCATAGTCTATATCACCTCTCTCCTAGAAAATGTTTAATGAGTTTAGTTGGTAAAAAATGACTTAATGCTTCTAGACTTAATACAGGTCCCTCTAATGGGAGCACTATTCCAATCCTTGTAATATAGATATACCAAGGGTAGCACAATTCCAGAGGTGGTAATATAGATATGATACCCAGGCTACCACAATTCAGGTGGTTTTAATAAAGATATATTACCAAGGGTATCACAATTCAGGTGATTCCAATAAAGGGTAGCCAGTAGTTCTAATATAGATATATTACCAAGGGTAGCCAGTACATGTAGTTCGATTATAGATACATTACCAAAAGTAGCACAATTCCCGTGGTTCCAATATAGATATATTGCCAAGACTAGCCAGTAGTTCTGTTATAGAAATATTACTAAGGGTAGCAAATTTCCATAAGATATATTACTAAAAGGGTAGCAAATTTCCAGTACTTTTAATATATATATATATATTACCTGTATGGTTTATTGTAACAATGTTTGTTATAACAAGATGAAATATATAAGGTTCTGTGATATGCTGACCCTTCTAGTGGACAGTAAAGTTGAACAACCAGCTTCATTCGACATCCGCAACCTTCACAGACAGGCAGACAACAATCTTCATACATCCAGTCCTAAAAAACAACAATCATTACATTTACTGTAAGAGAGAGTGAGAGAGAGAAATGGGGTTTAACGTCCACTCGACACAAACTAAGTCATTTCGGGACTAACATATGGTTTAATTTTATTTCAATAATTCGGTTGCGTGTAGAGGTCTTTAGCAGTGGGAGGAAACCGGACAGGCGACCCTACTCCTTGTCACGTACAACCGGGGAATTGAAACCATGCCAGTTGACTCAATGACAGACTTTATGATACAGCGTGCACATGCGAACCATTTAGCCATCCAACCCCCCATTTACCGTAAGCCTTGGAGCCAAAGTGGCTAAGTGAGTAAGACGTTGGCTCGCAAACCGGGAGGTTCCATTTTTTATTCATGTGTTGACTGAGAAAGTTCATCAGGAATTTTCGACATGGTTGCCCCTTGTCGGTAGTGCAGGGTGGGAAGAATGGCAAGAGATAATCTATAGTCATTCCGATGGGACAAAAAACCTGAGATACAGTGCGCACACTGATGTGCACATAAAATAACCAGACTGTTTGAATTCGAAGGAAAAAATAGTGCTGCTGTCCAGACAAAATGAGTTAACTGATGCGGGGAAGCTCCAGAGATTTACCCAAAATATCCTAAAACAACATGAATTTTGCTTAAAGGAGCTAAATCGCCAATATTTTGGACCTAGAAATTGACACAAATGGGTCGTAACGCATATAATAATGTAATAGGAATATACATAAACTGATTTACATTCAATCGTTTCCATTTTTACTCTAATTTCAAATCAGTTACGTTTGGCGAAATATGTCAGAAGTCTCAATCGAATGAAAATTTCTAGCGCCTGGTTATTCTAGTCTATATAGTATTTATTGCGCATACTATCCCGATATGAATATGCCGTCACCGTTTCACATGACTTGTTGAATGTCTAGCCTCGTTCTTCGAGTCCCTTGTTATAATGGGCTTGAAACGCATTATGGTACACAATTCGTGTACCAATGGTAAAATGTTTATTTTGTCTTAAATATTGGATATCAGAAGCCCATCTTTTCCCGGTAAGATCACAACATCAATGTTGATTTAAATTGACAAATAATTTGTGTTTTCAATATCGAAGATTTTGGATAATATTGAGTAAGAGACTTAGCTACTTTAAATTTGCATTTTATCATAAATGTTGGGCTTTTGTGGTTATAAAGATTAAAATCCTTGGAATGTTCATACAAATGTTAGAGGCTAAAAAATATCATGGATTTATCATAGTAGAAGTCAATGAGGAGAGAATTACTAGTCTGACTCCGTAACCACTACGAGTTGTCTTTCTTGATTTTATCTCCCATTATTTACGTTCTTTTGCCAGAAATATATGAAATATAAAGTGTAAAGTTTATGAAATATTAGTCAGCTATACATAGATAAAGAACGGCATAAAAATGTGTTGTTTCAAGCAATATTAGGTTGTTTTGTGTAATTAGGGTTTCACACTGCGTAGCTTGTGTGAAACACTATTGTTTTTGTTAAAATTATTATTAGGGTTTCACACTGCGAAGCTTGTGTGAAACACTATTGTTTTTGTTAAAATTATTATTCTTATTATTATTATTATTCTTCTTTTGTTTTGAGTAGATCTCAGCAACTACTTGTCGCATCGTTACGATTTCTTCGGTTTTACTGGGAAAGTGGGTGTGACTTAGAGGATAAAGCTATTTTGAACGTTCTGCGACAATGCGAAATGTCCGAAATCACCGAAGTTATCGTTTTTACAAATATTGCGGTAATTTTAACAATAATCATGGGATTTTAACTTTCGATACATTTTGGCATAGCTGGAGACAGGGCACATAGCTGCGCTACTTTCGATTTTTGATTTTCAGCAAAAATTCGAAGATATTAGGCGCCAAATTTCGGAAATTTAAAATTTTACAAAAAACTTTTTTATTGATGAATATTTTTTACTCGTGTTGTGCACAGAATTAAAGAGTCATCTGACTTGCGCAAAAATGTTAAAATTTTTTGTCTCAGTAATTTTCCTTGGCCTCCATTGGCTAATTCAGTTTTTCAGTCCTAGCTTAATTTTTTATTGTTCGATTTGTATAAAACAAAGTTCATATGCTTCGTTGTCTCAATTGTCATTTTTTTTATTACCAAAAGTGTTATCTGTCGGCACCGGAAGTGGCATAATTTTACCAAAAACTACAATTTTGACAGTTAGGTACCATTTTTTGAAAACAAATATTATTTTTTTGAAAAATTATATGACTCAAAGAGTGTGTCCTTTAAAGGCGCAAAAAATGTCGGAAGCAGTTTTTTTAATTTCTTTTTCATTTTCTAGCAAATTGGATTAAGAGGTGAAAAAAGGCGTAAAATTGACCTATTTACAACTCATTCAGGCTTTTCAGATTTTAAAATATTTTTACGTAACTTTTATAAACTTGTAGCTATAATCCATACGAAGAGAATGTATGTGAAAATTAGTTTGTAATATAAGCAGTTGCCGAGAAATAGGCAATTTTGCATGAGTCACTTTTCACGTAATTTTGGCTGTAAAAGAATCAATTATTATTCGATTTTCAATTTTCTTTCGCCATTGGATGCCTAATGCCATAGTGGACTATGTCAAACCATTTTACCCCTTGCGCTGCCACCGGAAATGACGTCATTTGCTCAAAACTTAAATTTTAGCCTTCAAAAAACAATATTTTATTCAAATGATTCGTATTTGTTATTTTTTTCAAATTATGATATTTGATTCTATTGATCAAATAGATTGAACCCATACGATCATACAGATACAACAAAATGGTTTCTAACTTGTACGGTTGCAGAGAAATGGGCGATTTTCCTTAAGTCACTTTTCAAGGTTTTTGGTCTATAAAAGTGTCAGTTATTATTCGATTTTCATAAAATTTTCACCATATGATATCTTGTGTCATTTATGATTTCATAGAACTAATTTAACATTTTCATTATCACCGGAAGTAACGTCATTTTGGCAAAAACTGTATTTTTAGCCTTCAAAACAGATATTTTTTTCAAATGAGTCTTATTTGTATTGTTTTTAAAATTATGATATTTGATTCCAATCAGCAAATAGATTGAACCCATACGATCATACAGATACCAGAAAATGGTTCCTAACTTGTACGGTTGCAGAGAAATAGGCGATTTTCTACAAGTCACTTTTCAAGGTTTTTGGTCTATAAAAGTGGCAATTGTTATTCGATTTACATACAATTTTCACCATGTGATGCCCTATGTCATTTCTGATTTCATAAAAGTAATTGAACATTTTCATTATCACCGGAAGTACAGTACACTTACATGTAACAAATGTATAAAATGAATTGATATTGCTGGATTTTGTTGATTCGGCGTCCATTTTATTTGATGTGTGCAATGCTTATGTGGAAACCTGTTTAATGGTTTCATTGGTACGGGAAGTAACATGTTTAGGGTAAAGTGGCACCGGTGAAACCCGTCATTACTGCATCGCAGTTCTAGTTCTTATTATTATTATTCTTCTTTTGTTTTGAGTAGATCTCAGCAACTGATTGTCGGATCGTTACGATTTCTTCGGTTTTATCGGAAAAGTGGGTGTGACTTAGAGGATAAAGCTATTTTGAACGTTCTGCGACAATGCGAAATGTCCGAAATCACCGAAGCTATCGTTTTTAGAAATATTGCAGTAATTTTAACAATAATCATTGGATTTTAACTTTCGATGCATTTTGGCATAGCCGGAGACGGGGCACATAGCTACGCTACTTTTGATTTTTGATTTTCGGCAAATCTTCGCAGATATTAGGCGCTAAATTTAGAAAATTTAAATTTTTACAAAAAACTTTTTTATTTATGAATATTTTTTAATCGTGTTTTACACAAATATAACGAGTCCTCTGACTTGGGCAAAAATGTGAAAATTTTTTGTCTCGGTAATTTTCCTTGGCCACCATTGGCTAATTCAGTTTTTCAGTCCTAGATTAATTATTTATTGTTCGATTTGTATAAAACAAAGTTCATATGCCCCGTTGTCTCAATTGTCATCTTTTTTGTTACCAATAGTGTTATCTGTCGGCACCGGAAGTGGCGTAAATTGACAAAAAACTACAATTTTGACAGTTAGGTACCATTTTTCGAAAGCAAATATTATTTTTTTCAAATCTGGTATAACTGAAATTGTGCGCCCTTTAAAGGCGCACAAAATGTTGGGACCATTTTTTTTAATTTCGATTCCGTTTTCGGGCTATTTCGATTAAAAGGTGAAAAAAGGTGTAAAATTAAGCTATTTACAACCCATCCAGCGTTTTCATATTTTAAAATATTACTTCGTAACTTTCATAAACTCGTAGCAATAATCTATACGGAGAGAATGTATGTGAAAATTAATTTGTAATATGCGCAGTTGCCGAGAAATGGGCAATTTTGCATGAGTCACTTTTTACGCTAGTTTGCCTGTAAAAGAGTCAATTATTATTCGATTTTCATAAAAGTGACACCATTTGATGTGTAATGTCAATTTTAACTAGGTCAAACCAATTTAACATTTTCAATATCACCGGAAATGAGGTAATTTGGGCAAAAATTGTATTTATAGCCTTCGAAACCAGTAATTTATTCAAATGAGTCATATTTGTTATTTGTTTAAAATTTTGATATTTGATTCAAATCAACTAATACAATGAACCCTTACGATCATATAGATATCACAAAATGGTTTCTAACTTGTTCAGTTGCGGAGAAATAGGCAATTTTCAACAGGTCACTTTTTAAGGTTTTTTTGTCAATAAAAGTGTCAATTATTATTCGATTTTCATGAAATTTTCACTGTGTGATACATAATGCCATTTACGATATCATACAAGTAATTTAAGATTTTCATTATCACCGGAAGTAACGTCATTTTGGCAAAAACTGTATTTTTAGCCTTCAAAACAGATATTTTATTCAAATGAATCAGATTTGTAATGTTTTTAAAATTATGATATTTGATTCCAATCAACAAATAGAATGAACTCATTCGATCATACAGATACCTCAAAATGGTTTCTAACTTGTACGGTTGCAGAGAAATAGGCGATTTTCTACAAGTCATTTTTCAAGGTTTTTGGTCTATAAAGGTGGCAATTATTATAGGATTTACATAAAATTTTCAACATGTGATGATGCTATTTCTGATTTCATAAACCAATTTAACATTTTCATTATCACCGGAAGTAATGTAATTTTGACAGGATCACTGACATGTAGCAAATGAATTGATTGCTGGATTTGGTTGTTTCTGCGTCCATTTTATTTCATGTGTGCAATGCTTATGTGGAAACCTGTTTAACGGTTTCATTGGTACCGGAAGTGACATAAGTTCAAGGGTAACGTGGCACCGGTGAAACCCGTCATTACTGCTTCGCAGTTCTAGTTAACGATGTTTTGGGTAAATCTACGAACCGACGGCGAGAGCTATTTCAATTTCACAAATAGTAATACACTTTTTCGATCTGACTTACTGGGTGTCCCCCAATTTTGTTCGTGTCCCACGAAAGTCTCTGCCCATCTCCAATACATTCGTCTGGTATACCAAGCAAAGAAGTCATTTTTAATAAAATGTTGACAGTTTCGGATGAAATCACTCTGGTACACGTGTTTGTGTTTACATCCGGTCATGTAGGGGAGATAACCGTACATTATGACATCTGGGATCAGACCACAGCTTTAAAAGTAGATGCTTTCTCATCTTTCTATTAAACAATTACACACTAGCTATACGCGTTCCTGAATATATTGCTAGATAATTATATGCCGTGTTTGCAATGGGGTATGAATGTCAGCAAACAAAATATGCAGAGCGTCATCGACGACATACACACCATGTCTAAAAATCATAATACAGTAATACATTATCACGACTGTAACCAATAACAATTGGGAAACCACAGGGACCCGCAGTGGCTCAGTGGGTTAGGGAAAGAGAGAGAAATAGGGTGTAACGTCCATTCGACACAAGCCAGTTCATTCCGGGACTAACACATGGTTCAATTTTATTCCAATAATTCGCTTGCGCGTAGGGGTCGTTAGCCGTGTGGGGAAACCGGGAGACCCGGATAAAACCCACGAGGTTAATAATAATAATAATAATAATGGATTTTTATAGCACCTTGTATTCAAAAGTTTGCTCACTGGCGCTAAGTTAGTCTGTCACATTTACGACAGTTTCCCATCATCTGTACTGAATAGGTGTGTTTTTAGCAAGGATTTGAATGTACACAATGATTTTGCTTATGTGATGGTAGCCTGTTCCACAGTTTAGGAGCAGCAACAGAAAAGCTTCTGCCTCCACATTTCACATAATTAAATGGATAGGCGACCCTACTCCTTGTCACGTACAACCGGGTAATCGAAGCCACGCCACTTGACTCATTGGCCGACCTTATGATACAACGCTCTCGCGAACCATTCGGCCAACCCCGAGTTCGATCAAGGTGTTAGCCTTGAAAGTTCCCCGGAGTTTCCAGGGTGGTGTCCCTTATCAGTGGTGCAGGTAAAGAGGTCATGGCAAGGGCAGGGTCTAGTCGTTCGAATGGGAAGAAAACCTAAATCCCCAGTACACTTGTACGTGCTCGTAAACATTGACAGTTCTAATTCGGTATAAGAGTAAGCCATAGTGCCACGGTCAGGGCAACATTTCCCTCATTAACCCAGTAGGTGCAGAAAAGTATGACGTTACACGCCATTTCATTCATTCATTATTTCATTCATTAATTGATTATTTCATTCATTCAATAACGCTGAGATACATACTTTGACCAGATTGCCATTGAACCTGGTTGAAATGAGAAAACCATGATTTTACACTGTATTGTAAAAGCATTACTGTGTGAACGTGCTTATGAATTCCCATTCAATAAATTATTCACCAACAAACCTTATATGACGAAGAGATAGAGCTGGGTATTAATTGCCTGGGAGTTTTTTTTTCAGTGATAACTGACGTTGATCACGGAATTGCGTACACCCGAATTGTGGTATTCACCCGAGATCATCACGCTGAAAGGACAATAGAAGAAAGGGTGAATAGGCAATAGAAGAATAAAGGAATTTATGTATGAAATATAGCAGAAATAAATTAAACTTAAAGTAGTGTAATTAGATATAAAATGTGCGAGTTACATTTAATAAAAGCTAGTAGGATATCCGGCTTCGCCCAGGACCCAAATTCGCACGGGTCCAAATTCGCTCTGGGCCCAAATCCTGGGGTCCAAATTCGGCAGTCGCCCAACTTCGCCAGTGGCCCTATTCACCAAGGGCCAAAATTCGCACAGGTCCAAATTCGCTCTAGGCCCAAATTCGTAGGGGGTCCAAATTCGGAAGTCGCCCAACTTCGCAAGTGGCCCTATTCACTAAGGGCCCAAATTCGCCGGGGGCCCAAATTTGCCCGGGACCAATTCACGGGAACATGCTGGTTAACGTGATACCACATGTCGGGGTGGAGCGCGGTGACGAAGCGTGATGGACGAACATACATACATACACACAGACATCTTTGATTTAATTTATATTATGCCAAACATTGTGTTTTGGTAAAAAAAAGTATTCCAAATGTCAAGGTTTCATTTACGTTAACGTCATGTGTACATTAGACCTCGGGTTTTTGTTTCATGGGAACCACTAGGAGAATTCTGGGGACCTTTAACAATGAACACCTGGATCGAACCTTGGTCCTCAATGAGCCACTGTAGCCCCAGATATAATAAAGGATTTATGTTTAGTATTTATAGAGCGCCAGGAGGTCTAGGTTTTAATCCCGGTGTCGGTTAAAATATTTCTTAGCTTGCAGCTTGTCCCGCTCCCCACTCTCGATGGTACCAGACTAGTCTTTCGGATAGGAAGGAAATCGATGCCCCGTGTATTATCATTGGAAGCACATTAGAGATTTGCATAGGAGTAGGTCGTAACGTCAGAGTATTGCTCGCTCTCCATGTACGCCGTGCAGCGTGCTCTAGGTGAAACTTTGCCCGGATATCAATTGAATTCCAATTGTCAGTGGTTCTTTAACGCACACGTTCTTGTACAATTCATCCCGGACCCTTTGTCCCGCGCCACTAGCAAAGGGAAACCACACAGGAAAATTGCTCGGCCAGCTGCGATATCGAACCTGATACCCCCAGATTAGACAGCCAACGCCAAATTCCCTGCGCCATTAGTTTAAATGTAAACACGACATTATTGTTTGTCATTAGAGATATAAACCGAATTGATGTTGGGGTATAATTTACTACAATTATTTAATTAACACCATGTTTGACTAGATTAGACTTTGATGTTATTCACCAGCTGATCCTTGTTAGTACCACGTGGCATATACATGAAGTTTCAATATACGCATATAGAAAGATAGCAAGACATGGTTTGTACATGAAGTTTAAATATATTCGGGAGCCGCGATAGCTCAGTGCGTAAGATGTTGGTTCGCTAGCCTAGAGTCCCTTGTTCGATGCTGGTGTTGGTCGGGAACGTTCATCGGGATTTTCCGGCCTGCCCCCCCCCCTTTGTCAGTGGTGCAGGACAGAAGGCATGACAAGAGACAACGTATAGTCGTTTGGACTAAAAAGGGCACCGTGTACACTTTGGTGTGCTGGTAAAAGAACCCTTGGCATTTGAAATCCGATATAAGAGTAGGCTGTGGTGCCGCTGTCCGGGACAAATTCCCCTCATTAGCCCAATGAACTTTCGCGACCAACGCAGGGATTGAACACCGTACCTCCAGGTTAGCGAGCCAACGTCTTACTTACTGAGCCACCGCGGTCCCCTCCACACAAGCATTGTCCAGCCAACGTCTTACTTACTGAGTCACCGCGGCCCCTTCCACGCCAACAACTGTTGGCAATTATAAATAAATAAATCAAGATAAAAAAACAAACGAGGTAAAGGTGAGAAATCATGAATCAATTTACTTCTCATCATTAAATTAACTACAGTAAGTTATTAGAGATAATTATTAATTGGCACCAGGCCTAAATATTGAACACATCAAATACAGATATAAAAGGTGCCAGGATAGAAATTGAAAAGGATTGAGGAACAACCATAGTCTACATGACCTCTCTCGTAACAGTTCATAAATAGATATAGAAAAAATGACTTTATTGAAAATTTCAGTCAAATTACTTTATTCTGAGCGAAGTTAAGCATGTTTGAAGTTTTGACAAGAAATAGCGTATAATAGTCTCGATTATCAACTATCATTGCTGGGATAATAAATTTCCATTTGATCATTTGTCGAAGATACGGCAGATATTGTTTTATCCACGAAGCCATCCAATAGCCAGAGAGTTGATTATGTGCTTGCCATGTAATTAAATGTCTAATTAATAATTTATATAACATCTGAAGCCAGAACAAATACCTGACAAGTCAGATTAAGTTCTACCATTATACATATTTAATCAAATCATTAGAGAGTATTGATTAACTTAAAGTTACAATTTCATATTTTTAAGTTATATTTTTAAAATGTATTAAAATAAAGTCCTAAAATAGATGGTATCTATAAACAGTCCTACCTTGTTAAAGAATAATCCTATTAATCCTATAATTCACTATTGCCAGTTGAGAAATTGGCAAAAATATCATTTTCAACTTCGAATTCAAACGTTTGAAGATAGCTATTCCAAGGCGGGGAATAGGAAAACAAGGGAGGTAATTGGGAGGTAATTGTGTTATTATTTCCGGTGTGAAGATTTTTAAGTGTGAGAAAGATAACCTATGATCGTATAATAGTGAGTTGACAACCTATTGAGCAAAAGACATAGAAATAATTATGTTTTAGTCCTCCGGTTTCCTCCCACTGCTAAAGACCCCTAAACGCAACCGAATTAATGAAATAAAATTGAACCACATGTTAGTCCTGAAATGAACTACTCTCCCTCTCTCTCTCTTCTCTCTTTCTCTCACTCTCTCACACACACTAGTGGACTCAATAGAGACAACCCTATCGTAACGAATCGCAGGACTCCTACGCGCCATCGAATAATTGAAAAAAATTGAACCATGTGTTAGTCCTGAAATGACCTACTCTCCCCCTCTCTCTCTTCTCTCTTTCTCTCACTCTCTCACACACACACACACAATAGTGGACTCAATAGAGACAACCCTATCGTAACGAATCGCAGGACTCCTACGCGCCATCGAATAATTGAAAAAAATTGAACCATGTGTTAGTCCCGAAATGACCTACTCTCCCCCTCTCTCTCTTCTCTCTTTCTCTCACTCTCTCACTCTCTCACACACACTAGTGGACTCAATAGAGACAACCCTATCGTAACGAATCGCAGGACTCCTACGAGCCATCGAATAATTGAAAAAAATTGAACCATGTGTTAGTCCCGAAATGACCTGGTTTGTGTTGAGTGGACGTTACACCCCATCTCTCTCTCTCTCCCTCTCTCTCTCTCTCTCTCTCTCTCTCTCTCTCTCTCTCCGGTTACATAGTTGGCATGACTATAAAATGCGTTTCTTTGACAGATTATGGATAGAAAATGTTTATTATTGTATTTTTCAAATAAGTAAACGCCTTACGTATTTTGTTGGCAAATATTAATCATCTTATAGGTTCGACACTGTGACGAAAGCTTACAATGAAATTTGATGTCTTTGTC